TTCTTCAAAACTTCAAATATTTTGTCAATTTAAAATTAAAAAACTTTTGCAATTAAATTAATTATAAAAATAAAAAACGCGATTCTTGCAAAATTCAATTACTTTTAAAAATTTGAAATGCAAATCTTCCGAATTCAATTATTATTTTATTTAATTTACTTTTATTTTATTTTACTTTAATTATTTTTTCAATCTTTTAAGTAAAATTTTACTGGAAAAATTAGAAAAAAAATTGAATTATGGAAGAATTGCATTTGCAATTTTTATAAATAATTGAACTTAAGTAGATTTAATATTTAAAATTTTTGGAAATCTTACTTCCTGCAATGAAATAATGATTTTGATAAAATATTCACTTAAAAAAAGTTTTTCATGTTTTTAATTAGCAAATTAATTTATAAACGATTAATTTTTTAAAAGTTTATCAGGAATTAAGTTGTTTTTAATAAATTTAATTTATTTTTCTTCTAAATTGTTGATAATAAACGTAGAATATTGAATTTAAAATTAAAATATTTGTTATGAAAAATATTTCGTTCCGTTTCAACGAAATATTTAGATCATTAATTTCGAAAAGAAAAGCGAATTTTGTTCGAAAAAAATGAAATTTAATTAAAATGAATAAAAAATGTTTCTTATTTTTAACTATTTGTTCATGGAATTAATTACGGTTTGAATGAACATTATATTTAATATAAATATTTTTAATTATTATTATAGAAATTTTTTAATATAATTTCTTTTCAGCGATAAAAAAATTTTCATTGAACATATTTAAATAAATAAATTTATAAATTTAATTATTTTTCATTTAAAACTTTACTGCATTCTTTCTCCTTTTTCATTGTTGCAATTTTAATGAAAAATAATTGTAGGTACTTCTTCACAATAAACTTTAATTAAAATTCTTCTACGGATTCAAAAAATTAATAACGGTATTAATAAACGAAAGAGGCAGAAATCTCTTAACAAATATTCACAAAATTAAACTTTTCCAAATAAAGACCAAAATAAATAAAAAAAAAAAATCTACCGAAATTTTTGTTTTGTAATTAAAAACTCCTTAATTAATAAAAATCGATAATTCTATAAATTTTCAATCAATTTTTTTCGACTTGAATAATAATTAATCCGCAAAAACTTTGTTTAAGAAGAGAAAGAAGGGGAAAGAAGCGAATCAATTAAATTTCCAGCTGCCGATTATATAAATAATGCGGCCCTGCTAATGACGTCCCGTTTGCCGAACTAAAGAACGTCTTTTCTAAGCTTATTATCTGAGCAGATAGCAACAGGCGCCTCGCGTGTTTTCAAACCAAAATCGCACGCGCCTCTTCATTTAATCCTTTTTTCACTCCTAATTGAAATCCCAATCTTCTTTAAAGTTTGCAAAAGCAAAAAAAAAAGAAGCTAAAATACTAAGTGGTCATCTCTTTATAAATTCAAGCCTTCAACTTATCCCCCCACTTTACTATCACGTATCACTACCAATCATTTCATTTTTATACTTTTAAATTTTTTCTCCCATTTTTTCCTACTCATTAAAAAAAGAGGAAAATTAAAAAGAAGAAAAAAAACCATTAGTACTCGTAATGACAAAAAATCCCCATTACATTTTTAAAAGCTCTTTCATATTAAAAGTGCGAAATTACATTTTTCTTCTCATCCCTTTCAACCATATACATATACTTTTTAATTAAAAAAGGATTTCCTTCAAAATTTATATTATAAAAACTAAAAAGAATAAAAATACAATTCTATTTTAGAGATAGATAAAATTTTCCCACACAAAAAAAAAAGAAAAATAACTGCAACCATCCAAAAAAAGTACAAAATGATTTACTACCGACAAAATTAAAATTTGCATCACAAATATTAGTTCAACAAATCAAATAGGCACAAATTTTTTTTTCCCTTCTCTTTTTAAAAAAAAAAAATTCTTATTGTCGTCAAACTATTATTCCGAGTTTTCGCATTGAATGCAGTCGAAAAAGCATAGAGAATAAAAAAAAAGAGGGAAAAATAACAAGAACAAAAAAAAAATACTCGGGGTGAAAATTTATCGGCAGGTAAATTTGATTTTGGATCGTTTGCGAACACGAAAGTCGTCTGGATGGGGGAGGGGGTGGTGGCGAAAAAGAGAGTTGAAATGGTGCGTGGATGTAAAGCAAGGGGGGAAAGAGGGAGGGAGAGTGAACTAAAGGAAGAGGGAATGTGGGGAAGGGAAAAGGACGAGGTTGATGTAGAGTAGGCCGTAAATCCTCCGACGCTGACGCAGCGGCGGCCATATCTCAAAAGTTATCCAATTTGTGTTAAAATAGCGCAGTGGATGTACCTTCAGCCCTTCCTCCCCCAAACTGCACCCCCCCCCTTCCACCCTCCCTCGTCTCGTTTCAGGAAAATTATCGTAGTCTCCAAGTATTTGCGAATTTCGCGAATAGATAACAGAAATTGGTGTCGCAGTCTATCAAAACCTAGTTGAAAGCCAGGCAAAAGCATTTTCCCTTTACTAAACATGATTTATGGAAATTATTATTGCTCTCGACCTTTTCTTTTTCGAGGAAAATTTACAATTTTCTCTGTTTTTATTTAAGTTTTGAAAATTTTTTAATTATTTAGTATTTATTGTTAATTATTCACACTGGAATAAAAATTAATTTGATTCAAATAACCAATTACTTGTCTATTATCAAAAAGAATATTTAATTGAATCAGGGTTGCCACAAATATTTAATTTTATTTTTCCCTGATTTCCAGACTTTTGACTTTTTTCTTGACCCTAAAGAATATTCTGATTCACTTTAAAAATTATTAGATACTCAAAAAAAATGTTCTATTACATTTATTTACAAATTTCTTCAAAAGTAAAATTTTTTGAATAACATCAATAACTTCTTTTTTAAATAAATATTTAACCATTATTATTTGTTTGTAGGAATTAAAATTTTTCGAAACATTCAAATTTAAACTTTTTTGAAATTCAACAACTTGTAATAATTTAAATTACCATAAAATTTTTCAAAAAAAAGTTAATTATTTACAAAAATCCTAATAAAATCCTTCGCAAGAATTCAATTATTTTTACAAGTAGTAAAATTTCTAAAAAAAAATTCATTTAAACAAAATGTAATAAAATTCGTTGCAATAATTCAATTAATTTTATAAATAATAAATCGATTATTCAGTAATTCATTTTTAAATCAATTTTTACTAGAAAATTGTAGAAAAATTTATTTAAATTAAAAAATAAATAATTTATTGAATTACTGTGAAATTTTCCCAAGAATTTTATTAAAATTTTTCTAAAATAATTGAATTTCGGAGAAGAATTTTACTATTTATAAAGATAATTGAAATTTTGACAAGAATTTTTTTTTTCATTTTTGAATATAATTGAATTTCTGCGAAGAAATTTATTATATTTGAAAATAATTGAATTTCTGGAATCATTTGTAACTTTTACAAAATACAATTTTTTTTAGTATTTTTAACTAAAATTCTTCTATCAATCTAGTATTTATGAAAATTGTAAAAATTATTCATTAAATAATTTATAAGTCATAATTTTATGATAGTTTACACTAAAGAATAAGACAGATTAAAAAGACAAAAATTGTACACAATGAAATTTGAGGTTATGTTACCTAAGTCTCGAGAACCCCGAGACAATTGTATGCGATTATAATTTATAGGAGTTTCAAAATCGCAATATAGAATATCAATTTCGATTAAAATCACTATTTGATTAATATCAGTTCCGACTGATTGGTTATTTTGATTAAAAAAACATTTTCAAAGTGGATTATTTTCATCATAAAAAATATTTATATTTGTACTCACAAATCTTTGAATTTTGTCGATATAATAAATATTTTCCAACAGTAATTGTATTCTTATTCATAGATTTAATATTCTCATGAAGGATTCTCAGCTTTTGAAGAAATATTACAGTAAAAACTGACAAAAACACTCTACAACTATCGAATTACGATCTAAAGTGACAGGGCGGCCATTTGCAATTGTGTTTACGCATTTTTCACCATGAAGTTGTAGATTTTGCCGCCAGAGCGCGCTACCAACGCACAAAAAGTAAAAAGCAAGAATCCCCCCCCTCCAATTAAAAATAAACAGTCGAAAAATATACAATAATAAGAAAATACTATCGGTAGAAAAGATATAGATTATGTTACCTTCTGTTTTTAGTAATCAGAAAACCTTGGATACCTCAGATCCGTTGTACTAAATATTTTTGATTCGTAAAAACTCATTCGATCTTCCATCCTAACGGCTTGGTTTAGACTCCCATAGCGATGAACAATATTTCCGGAATCTTGATTCCAATACTTAATTATTCTCCATATAATAGTTGCAGGAACTTTTAATCCATAGACACTGTATTATTTTGCATAATTCTCTTATTTTTGGTGAAAAAAAACTATTATTTACTTAAAAAAACACTGCATGTGCTCTAACGGTGCTGACACTATGTCGGCCATTTGCAATTTTAACTACAATGTGTTGCTATAGAGGCGCTGCAAGTGCTGCAACCGGAAACTCAGGGTTGGGCAGTTACGCACCAGCTCGATGTTTCCCAAGCAATAAAATACTTTTCCCATTAAAATTAAAACACTTGTATTTCTCTCCTACTATCAAAAAGTGCAAAAGTAAAAAGAAACAACTTTGTAAAATACTAGGGAAATTACTAGGATGTCAATAAAATGACTCTGGGAATTCAATTTCTTTGGGAGTACTAGTTACTCAACCCTGTAACGAAGCCCCGACCAGGGATGTGTCACTTCGACTTCAAAAAAATACCGCCGAATGGCGAAATTTTATCTATTCAACCCTGGTAAACAATCTCTTGTAGAAAAAGAAATACACAAAGTTTATAGTGTTACCAGTGTTGTTAAAAATCAAGAAAAATAACAAAATTCTTTAGAATTATAATTAATAATGGATTTAACGAACATGAAAAAGATTTACGTACCTTTTTTGCTTTATAGTTCGGCATACAACAGTCCTCAAGGAACGTATTCAACAATGAGTTCACCGGGACAACAGCACAGTAATCAACAGTTACTTTTGTTGCAACAACAACACAATCAGCAGCAACAACAACAGCAACAGGCGCAGATGCAACAACAACAAATGCAGTATATGCACTCACAACAACAACAGCAGCAACAACAACAGGCGCAGATGCAACAACAACAAATGCATTTCACCTCGCATCGAGGTTCCACGGGGCCAAGTCCAGCTGCAATGCCAAATGCTCTTCCAGAAAATAATAATACCACAACCAGTGAAGATAGCGACGATAGCACACCTCATTCAGCGATGGTATGTATTTTTATTAATTATCTACCCCCCCCCCCCCCCCCCCTCCTCCTAATTAATAATTAATTCCAATTTTGTATTAAAGATTTTTTTCATTCTTTCTAAAGAAAATTCTCCCCAATTTTTTTAGTTGCGACCGCACAATTCGCTTTTTCATTTCATTTTCAACATAACCTACAATTTTCCATAGAAAACAAATTCGAATTTTATTTCTATAGATAGAAAAATAAATAGAATTGAATAAAATATATTTTTTTTCTATAGAAATAAATAAAATATATTTTATTTTGTATGTATTATTTATTTATTTAAGAAAAGGAATTTTATAATAGAAAAATATATTTTCAGCATTTAACGAAACAAATTGTTGTCAATTTATATTTGAAAGTTTGAATATCTAATTAGAGACTTTTTCCATGTGCAAGCAATTATTTCAAATCAATTCCAATTGAAATGTTTTTATTTATTTTTTTTTCAATTTCTTGTTCTCGAAAAAAAACTGCATTTGACACAATTAGAGCCGGATTTTAAGTAATTGATTCGTATAATTAACTGGCATTCGAGAAATGTACATTTCCTAACTATCTAATTAAGTAAAATATAAGTGAAAGAAAATCAGATCTAAATTGCAACCTACGCAAGAATTCATTGCACAATAATCTCCTTCATTTGTAGTCTCAATGTATGGCAACTTGTTCTTCTCATAAATTTACTATTGAAAAATAATATATATACATACATTCGTTGATGACAGCTGTTAAATTAATAGATTTGTCCTTGAAGGAAAATCTAAATACAAAACTATACATTGTTCACGACTTAAATTATTGTCATTAGAAAAAAATTTGCAAGAGAAAAAAAAATTGGATTTATTTTTTCTTTTTATTAATTAATCTCCTTAGGAGAAAAAATAGTTAATTAAAAGATTTTACGGTAAATCTGTCCTTTAATGAAAACATTTTTTTTCTTTTTTTTTTTTAATCTCTTTACTGTCACGTGGAGTAAATACAAATTTCTATTTTCTCAATGTTTTGTGCTCTATTTCTAAAGGAAATTCTTTCTTCAACAATAAGAGCTTTACCCTTGTTAAAAACTTACAAAAGCAATTCCGTTTAACTCGCGGGATAATCAAGATTTATTTTCCTTTTGCCCTGTCAATCTTTTCCTACTAATGATATTTAATGGTATTATTTATTTTTTGAGACGAGAATTTTTTTTAATCACTCGCAGCAGTGACTTGTGAAAATGCAAAAATATCCTTTTTTAAAATAAAAGTAAAATTGAAAAACTCAGGTAAATAAAATTTAAAATGTTAATTTAATTTTCCTTTCGAATAAAACAAAAGAAATAAAATCTAATAATAATTACTCAAAAATGAAAAACAAAAATAAATTGAAACAAATGAATCACGTTTAGCAGAAAACTATTTTTCTATTATAAAATATAATCGAAGAAGAAAAGAAAGTGAAAATGCAAAACTGAATTTAAAAACAATTTGAAACATTGAAAACATTAAAAATTAAAATGCATTAAAAAAAATGTGAAAGTTATGTTAAGGAGACAACTTTCCTTATCTAGATGATATGTAATATACGTTAAAATACCACACGATTCGAATATAGTTTTTATCTTATAATTTATAAGACTTGTCATATACGATATTAAGAATTTAATTAAGAAACTTCAAAATTTAATTTTGTATAATATATTTGTATAGAACTGTGTTTTTTTTTGTCCTTTTTTGCGTCTCTCCTCGTGCAAGATAATCTCGAATCGTTAGTATAAAATGCCGACTCTTTAATCAACCATCAGAGGATTATGTTTTTTAGATTTTTATTGTCACACCGCAAAAGTAGTTAAACGCATCATTTAATCCTGGTCTTAATCGACTGTTTATCTTGTACAGATGGCAGGAATCAAACGACCATCGCCAGAACCTGCCGATGGTGCGACTAAGGCACAGAAGAAGCCGAAAGCCCAAAAGAAAAGGAAGAAGAAAGATCCCAATGAGCCGCCAAAGTGAGTTTTTCTCTTTTCTTTATTCCTTTTTTTTTATTTTTCTCTCTTTTAGGTATCATAATCTGACAGGTTGCCACATTATTGCCATTTTTGGGGGTTAGTGGCTTCGGAAAAGAAAAAAAAAATCAGCCTGCGGTGTCCTGTCAATTCACCATCTGTGCAACTCTTTCGAACAAAAACCGCACTAATCAGAAAATTTTCAGTGCATTCTAAACTATATACTTTATTATGGATACTCTTTTGGCACGAACTTCGGTTTTTTATTCAAATTTATTCGAAAAGAATTTAAATACTTATACCTATAAAAAAAACTATTTCGTTTACAAGACATTTCGAGTTTAGAAAAAATTCAGCTTAATTCATTTTTGATCATTTTTAATTAAAATGGTAATTTATTAGAATTTGCTTTGTGCAGTAATTTTTAAATAACTTAATTTTTCAAGAACTATAAAATTATGACTTATAAATTATTTAATGAATAATTTTTACAATTTTTATAAATTCTATATTGATAGAAGAATTTTAATTAAAAATACTAAAAAAAAATTGAATTTTGGAAAAGTTACAAAAGATTACAAAAATTCAATTATTTTTAAACTTATAAAAATTCTTCACAGAATTTCAATTTTGTTCAAAAATTTTTTAAAAAATTCTCGTCAAAATTTTATTTATCTTCATAAAAATAAAATTCTTCATCGAAATTAAATTATTTAAAAAAATTTTAATAAAATTAATTAATTTATTTAAATTAATAATTAATTAAATTAATTTAATTTAATTTAATTAATTCTTGGCAAAATTTTACAGGAATTCAATTATTTAATTTCTAATAAATTTCTTCGAAATAATTCAATTATTTTCATAAGTAGATAATAAAATTTTCACAGGAATTCAATTATTTAAAATACAAAATTTCATAAAATTTTTCGAAAAATATCAATTATTTAAAAAGATTTTTATAAAATTCGTCGTAAGGTTTCAATTATTTAAAAAAATTTAACAAAGTTCTTTTCAAGAATTCAATTATTTATATAAATAATAAAATTCTTCACAGAAATTCAGTTCTTTTTATAAACTTGAATAAAATTCTTTGGAAGAATTAAATTATTTTCAAAAGTAATAAAATTCTTCGCAGAAATTCAATTATGTTCAAAAATTTTTTTAAAATTCTTGTCAAAATTTCAAGTATCTTTATAAATAATAAAATTCTTCATCGAAATTCAATTATTTTTAAAAATTTTAATAAAGTTCTTGTCAAAATTTCACAGGAATTCAATTATTCAAATTTTAATAAATTTCTTCGAAATAATTCAATTATTTTCAGAAGTTATTAAATTTCCACAGGAATTCAATTATTTAAAATACAAAATTTCATATAATTTTTCGAAAAATTTAAATTATTTAAAAAGATTTTTATAAAATTCGTCGTAAGAATTAAATTATTTAAAAATGTTTAACAAAATTCTTTTCATGAATTCAATTATTTTTATAAATAATAAAATTCTTCACCGAAATTCAATTATTTTTATAAACTTGATTAAAATTCGTTTCTAGAATTCAATTATTTATTTAAATAATAAAATTCTTCACAGAAATTCAGTTATTTTTATAAAATTGAATAAAATTCGTTGGAAGAATTCAATTATTTTCAAAAGTAATAAAATTCTTCTCCGAAATTCAATTATTTTAGAAAAATTTTTAAAAAATTCTTGGGAAAATTTTAATTATTTTCATAAATAATAAAACTCATCGCTGGGTTTTAATTATTTTTGATACAATATTTTATTCGAATTCCTCGAAAAATGTAATTATTCTTAAAAATTTTATTAAAATTTGTCAAAAGAATTCAATTAGTTAAAGATTTATTCATAAAATTCTTTATGATAATTCAATTTTAACAAACATTCAATTATTAAATAAATTATTTATTTTTTACCGAATAATCGATTTATAATTTTTGAAAATAATTAAATTATTGTAGCGAATTTTATTAAATTTCTTTTAAATAATTAAATTTTGTGAGAAAGCCATCTTCATGTTTTGTAATAATATTTCTAAAAAATTTTGAATTTCAAAAAGGTTTGAATTTGAATGTTATGAAGAATTTTAATTCCTACTTTTTCAAGTGTTCGAACTATTTAAAGTTTATAAAGTATTTAAAGTTTATAAGAGATTTGTTACATTTTTTGTTGATTTATTGATGAAATTTTGACCAGTGTTTTGTAATTTATAAGCAATTTCGTTTTCTATAAGGTAAATAATGCAATCTAATTTAATTGTATTAGTGCAAATCCTTTCTAATTCTTAGAGTCATTGTTTTTTTTTCTCTCCTTCGTGCTCTGTATTTACAGAGAGTTGCATTGTTGCAATAATGCAATTGTTGCCAATTCAGAGCGATTACGGTTTATATTTTTTTTTCTCTAAAATTGTCTTTAATAACTATTTAACGAGTGTAAAAAGTATTCGCAATTTTTTTTCCTTCTTCTAAATCGACAAAATAGAAAGAAAAAAATCTTTAACTGCGAACTTGATCCAAGAAACAGTTTTTTTTTATTTTTTTTTTATTGCAATTTCTAAATTGTTGAAAATTATTCAATTATCTAAATTACCGTTTTAATATTGTCTAAATGACTATATTCCGCAATTCTTCGAATAATTAAAATTAGTATAAAATTCTTTGAATTCTACATTATGAAGAATTTAATTTCGAAATATTTATTATCATTGTAGTGAATATTTCATAATTGAGAATATTTTATTCTTTATGGACTGGAAAAGAATTTTAGTTATTAATATTATGTTAATAAAAGTCTGAAAGAACAAATAAACGAATTTTTTTTCAATTTTGGTACAAAATATTAATTTTTTTATTTTATTTACCTTCGTAAATGTTGAATTTATTTTTTTGTTTCGTATTAAAAATTTTAAGTATAGAATAATTTTGGAAAAGAAAAAAAATATCCGTTCAGAACTTTACAGACGTATTTAATTGTCTATTATAAGATTTTATAAATATTTAAATACAAAATTTTTAATTAAGTAGAAAATTAAATAGAAAAACAAAATTTTTAAATTAATCTTAATTTCGAAAATTAATTAGTCAATTAATTATTTATTATCAGTTAATTATTAATTCAACCAAATAAGTCTATAATTAATAAAGTAATTGTGAATGTCTTGTGAAATTTAAATTCATTCACTTCGCTCAATGAATTGTGCATTGCCTTTGAAAACTTTGTAGCGCCGGAGTTGAGTATTTTGAAACGTTAATTAGAGAGTCGTTTTATTGACGAACACGTTCTTAAACACGGGACAAGAAAGAAAGCTAAAATTATGTAGAGAAAATAATACAAATTCAACGAAAGACAAAGGAAGTTATTTTTGAAAAAAATTAATATTCACATCGGCGCTGTTTTTTTAATTAACTATTTTTTAGTTTAAAATAGAAATTATTCTACTTTAGAATCTAAATTAGAATAATTTTATTATTTATTTAATATAAATAATTTTTTTAAATAATATATTATTTATTTAATTATGAAATGAAATGAAATAGAAAATTAGAATTTAAACGAAGAGGAATGGAAATAATTTATTGCTAATTTTCAGGCCAGTTTCTGCTTACGCGCTTTTCTTCAGGGACACTCAGGCAGCAATTAAAGGACAAAATCCAAATGCGAGTTTCGGCGAGGTTTCTAAAATTGTCGCCTCCATGTGGGACGCACTTGACACCGAACACAAAGACGTAAGTTAATTATTTCCAATTAATCAGAGAAGTAATAAATCGTTCTTTTTCAATTTTTCCCTCAAAGCGAAAGAATTTTTTAATAATTTTCTTTTCAGTTTAAAATAGAAACAAAAGAATTTAATTGAAACAAATTGTCATCGCATCAAATTGTGAAATTGAAAATTTTAATTGTTTTACGAAATTGGCAAAGAAAAAAAATATTCACCTACAGAGAGGGAGATGAAGAGAGAGAGAGAGAAAGGGAATCAATCAATAGCAGAATGAAATACGACAGTCATAAATTGGATCAGAAAAAAAACATTTTCTCTTGATTATCTCGAAGCAGCTAAATAAGGAGGAGAGAAATGGGGGGGGGGAGAAAAAAATAGTGGAACTATCACGTTCTTGCATCAAAACCTTTCAATTTGTAATTAGATCCGGCAAAGTTACAACTATAAGTAAAGGTTTTCGAAGACTGTGTAATCATCATAGTCGATAAGTACGTGGAAAGAGGCCGCAATAAACTTTCACGATAAATAATAATGGTTATTCCCTGGCAGATAGTCAACGAAACGTCGCTTGGAATATAAATAGCTTATCTCTCGTTATAATAGAATTTCACGGATTCTCTCTATATCTCTTCTTCCCTTGCGCTTCTTTTAACTATTACTCTTATCGACAAGATGAATATCAAACTACTCTTCAAATTCTTCAAATTATCCCATATTTCTAAATTATGTTTAATAAAATTAAAATTTAATTTAATTTTAATTTTAATTTTAATTTTAATTTTAATTTACATTTAAATTTAAAGTTCGCAAAAAATTTTCTGTAAATTTTCTTTGCTTGAAAGTAAATAGTAAAATTTTAATCGAAAATATTTTTATCCAGAGATTGAATATTAATAGTTTTGACGGTTATTTTTCGAAAGGTCAAAATATTCTTTTGACAGTTTACAATAAATCGCCGGGAATGCAATTTATTTATAAAAATATCAAGTTTTGTTCATAAATCCTTGGATTTCGTTCTTTTCCTTTCGCTTGCAATTTGCCACGATACTTTATTTACATTCTTGGCCTTTATAAGACATATACTTTCCTGAAAGATAAATAGTTTTATTGCCCTCTTATTGTGATTTAAAGATTCTCTCTTTCATAATCGAGTATAATTTTCTTTTTCGAAATTTCTCGATTTTTAATACCATTTTTCATTTCTCATATTTCTTTAATTGCATAAAAATAAAAAAACGAATTATTCCATAAAAGATGAATTTCAATGTTAATTTTACAATTTTAATAATCGTAAAACGCTTTAATTTTTCTCGATAAGTTAAAAAGCTTCGGTATTTCATGTTTAATTAATTCCCCCTCTCTATATATAGTACTTTATTCTTAATTTATACCAAGTCCCTTTTTCCATTAGTAAATGAAACTTTCATCTTACAGTAAAGACTATTTTTTTTTCGTTGGCGTGATTTTTTTTCCCCAACTCACATACACATTGTTACAAATAATACTTTCTCGTTATGGCTCTGGACGCGAGATAAAAATTTTAATTAATCGTAACTCATTTTGTGAAAGCAACCCATCAGCGGAAGTGGAAGTGTCGCGTAATCAAGTCCAGACAAAATTAATGTCAGTCTCTTTCGTGTAGTCGTGCGTGTAATATTCATCGAATCAATAGGAAAGCATTCTAAAAAGGAGGGAGGAAAAAAAAATCTCATTCTAAAAAGTATATATAAAAAAAAAATCTCACGTGGTGGGAGAGCCATTAATATTCTCTTACTTTATTATCGTGTTTGCTTTCCGTTCGGAAGCAGATTTTAATTTTAGATTCAAGTCTCGGGATAATTTTTCAATGGAAAAAAATTTTTCTTTAATTATACAATTTTAAAAGAGATAAACTAGATTAAAAGATCAAAGTCACTTTTATAAAGAATTTCTTTTTCATCATATAGAAAAAGAAGAAAATTTCTTTTCCAGTAAAGAACATTTTTTTTTCTCGATTGATATTTTCTTTATGAATATTTTTTTACTGTTAAATTTTATTTTACTGCATTAAATTATTGTTTTTTATTTTTTTTTTATCTTGCTATAAACGACTAAAGAAAGTTGATATAAAAAAAAATTTTTAATCCTTTTTTTCTCGAATGACAAGTTTACATTGAATATTTTGTTTATTTGCTGGTAAAACGATGAGAGAAACATTCTCTCGTATCTGTGTTTGTATGAGCACAGTAGTGAGCTGGCTATAAATTGTTAGAATAATGTAGCAATAAAGTTACACTATCAATTGCTATACGAGCGATCGTGTTTGCCTCGCCAGGCGAATAAATAAATTTCGTACGAATAGATACATGGGGCGAGGGGGGCTGAAAATTGAGAAAAAGAATTATCCTTGAGATAGTTTCGCAATTTTTTTTCGCATCAAAATCGAATATTCTTCAAAAAAGAAATAAAAATTCAGTAATTCTTTTTTGATAAAATAATTTCCGAATTCTCGTCCCACAGTTTTTGTTGGAAAAAAAAAATATTTAGAATGAAAACAATGTTACAAAAAAAATGTATATCGAAATAAAAATTTGTTATTACTAGCAAAGTAATGAAAAATTGATTTTTCAAGCGAAGCGAAAAAGAATTTGAATATGAAGCAAAAAATGTAAATTTACGGCAATTTTATTCTCCACTACAATTTTTATACTGTTTTTTTTTCTCCACGAAATGATTTAGCTATTTTATTTTAACATTCTTTTTTTTGTCTTCTTTGACAAATATTCCCTGTTATTTAAATAATTTATGAACTTCTCCGAATAGAAATAGCGTCCTGAATAAATAATTCCGTTGGATAAATATAGAGTATTAAGTAAATTACCCGTAATTGATAACAGTTTATCGATGGTGGAATTATTCATATTTGACATAATGACCGATGAACCACTTAAACAATTTTTCTCTCTCTCATTTTTTTTTATTATAATAATGGATGACAAAATTCTAAAATTTTAAAATTGATCGCATTACTTTAAAATACTTTATAAATTAGTTCTGGCGAAATTATTAAGCGGAAAATAAATTATATTTTATATTAAAATTTAAAAATCAATTAAAATTAATGAGATATTTATATTCAAGATGTATGTTGTAATTAAGGTCTTTGCTTCATTTGAATAATATTGAAAAAATGTTTAATTATTAAAAGTAAAAAGTAAGCGAGACGAAATTTTCCGTAATTATAATTTCAAGCTGCTTGAGATTTTTAAATGTATAATAAATATTAAAATAGTCAAAAAATTCTAAAAGTAAATTTTTTTATTAATATTCGGCAGTTAAATGTAAGGCGACGAAAGTTGATTTTTCAAATTAATTTTATTTGAAATAGTATTGAATTTTATAAATTTGTCGATCTTAAAAATAGGACACGAGAGAATTTAGTCTCGAAAAATGAAGGGAAGGGAAAAAAAGGAAAAATTGAAAGGTAGCAACTCGGGAAAGATATTAACGATTCATCATTTTCTGAATGGGGTGTTTAATTGCAACGGAGAAACGAGGACGTCGTCAACGTCGTCGTCGACGTTGATTGTACCAAGTTTATAAAAGCTATCTTTTAAGTTAAGTCGTATACACGTTTCTACTTCGGTTATTCCATTCGAATAAGAAAATGCCTTTCGAGAAAAAAAAAATTCCCTTCTCTCTCTCTCTCTCTTTCTCTCATCATCTGCATCTTTTGATCTCTTACAATTTAAAAGAAAAATTTTATAAAGCTGTTCCAGTAAATGATTTTTTACAATCACAATAGCTTTTAAATGTGACGATGATGATGAAACTCGCGAAATAAAACTTCTATTCTTAAAAGAGAGGAATATAAAAAAAAAGAAATCCAATTCTTTAAAAAGAAACTATAAAAACCATCTAAAATCCTTGGGAAGAATGTGTTGTGTAACATTAAACAAAAACTGACAGTTGATTTCACATGTGTTAATGAAACGCAAACATTGTAAAAAGGTTTCAAGTCAAAAAATCTCCGAAGATAAAAGTTTCCATTTTAAAAAAAGAAACTGTTGTTTGAAGTAAAAGTTAGATAAATATTTCTCGCGACTTTTTCATTACTCTGTAATTCAAATATTTAAAATTAGCATTAATTTACAAAAAAAATTTATTCGAGCAAAAATTAAAAATCGTGTTTTTCAATTTTTGTATTAAAAAAAAATGATTTTTAACACTTTTTTTTTGTTTTTAGGTTTAGGAAAACAAAAAAAAAAATTGAGAGAAACTAAATAGATAGCAAAATAGAAAAAAAAATCATGGAGGACTTTTCGGCTAATGGAATGATTTATACGAAACAGTTTGATACTAAAAGGAAGAAAAAATCAGTATATACATTATAGGAAATTTTCAATAACACTCCTACATGTATTTTACGTAGTCATATTAAGTCTCTTGATATCGGGACAGTTATTTTCGATACCCCACTATGAGCGAGTCATTATCATAACTTTTTACTGTCGAGTTGGAAGCTATACCATTCGAAACGACTTTATGTTATCGGGCAGGTGCAGATATAGTCGATATGGCAAAGTTTTTACAAAAAAAAATGAAGAGAAAAAAATACTCGTTATATTGCATTCTCTAATGGTTTACAAGAGGACTTTAATTATGATGACGATCGGCAGAAGATTTCATTCTATAATATATATATATGCATTTTAATAATCGCACTGAAAAATGGAAATGCAACTTTTCAAATGCATACATATATTATACTTTCAAATGACAGTCATTAATATATCTTAATACTCGGTGTCATCGTACCGTGTAAAAATCTCTTTTTTTTCTCTCTCTCTACCAACACTAAATTATTATCAATTTATATTTGGTCCTCTGACAGTGCAAAATTTACTTTAGACAAGAATCAACATTCCTTTTATCCGTAGGACTCAATTTATACTCGAATTCTGCTTCTTAAGAATTTCTATACACAATTTTCGTTCGATTTTTTACAAAAGGGAATAATATTTGCCTCCTAGGAGAACAAGAAGGAAAAATTACCATTTAAATCAAATAATTTAATTATTATTCAATTATTAATTGAAATTATATTATGTTAAAGTTAATCGGCTGCCGAAAAAAATTGAATCAGAAATTAAATTCTCGATTATGTGAGACTGAGTTTTTCGTTTTGATTTTAGGTTTACAAGAAGAAGACAGAGGCAGCGAAAAAGGAATATTTGAAGGCTCTGGCAGCTTACAGGGCCTCCTTGGTCAGTAAGGGTGCAACTGAAAACGAACAACAAACTCAACAGCAGCAACAGCAACAACAACCCCAACCACAGGCTGTTCCATACGGAGTTGTTCCTTATTCAGCATATGGAGGCAATACACAACCAGGAAATGTTGCTTATCAAGTTTACAGTCCTCAACCACAGCCACCATCACCCCAACAACATCAGCAACAACAGCATCAACAACAAATGGGCATTAAAAAATCTCCCCTTCATTTGGCTCAAATGCAAGGCAATCAACAGCAACAACAACAGGTAATTATTCAAGTACAACAAAAATTCTTTTTCGTCATTAATACAAGAATAGAAAAACGAAGAATTAAATTTAAAAACAACAAAAGGAATATTAAAACAGCAGCAAAGGCAAAATAATAAATGCAAAATACCAAAAGTCAAATAAAAAATTAAAAAATAGTAATAATAATAAAAATGATAATAATTAACGTGGGAGAAGTTCACAACATTTCTAATCGACGATGCAGAGAAAAAAATATTTTCTATGAAGAAAAGAATATTTTTTGTTTACATAGAAATTTTTATTTTTCGAATTGTTGATTAATTTAATGGTTTGAAGATTAAAAAATACGAGAAGTTAATTAAATCAAAATTATTTTTAATTAAAAATATTTCTTTTATAATTTTGATTCTGAAATAATTGAATTCTTATAAAGCAATTTATCAAAATTTTTCAAAATAATTCGATTTCTGCGAATTTTATTATTTTGGAAGAGAATTAAATTTTTTCATAGTTTTTAATTAAGTTTCTTTTCTTATAAAGCATTTTATTAGAATTCTTTTAAATAATAGAATTTTTGAGGAGATAATAATTCAATTGTCATAAATAATTTTATCAAAATTTTCCAAAATAATTGAGTTTCTACGAAGAATTTTATTAAAATTCTTTAAAAATTCTTTAAAAATTTCTACGAAAAATTTGACAAATTATGAAAATAATTGGAAATCTTGTTAAGAATTTGATTACAATTTTATAAAATAATTGAATTTTTTCAAGAAATTTAATTAAAATTGTATTGAAAATATTTCAATTCTCATAAAGAATGTAATCAAAATTCTTCAAAATAAATGTATTTCTGCAAAGAATTTTATTATTTAGGAACTGAATTACATTTTTTCAAAGTTTGTAATTAAATTTTTTTTATAAAGAATTTTATTAAGAAATTTTAAAATAGTAAAATTATTGAATAGAATTTTATTGAAATTTTTTAAAACAATACAATTTTTGCAAAAAATTTTATCAACATTTTTTAGAATAATTATTTTTTCCTGCTAAGAATTTGATTAATTATGAAAACAATTTAATTCCCATGAATAATTTTATCAAAATTTTTCAAATTAATTGAGTTTCTTCAAAATATTTTCATAAAATTCTTTAAAAAAATTAAATTTCATTGAAAATTTTTATAAATAATGAAAATAATTGAAATCTTTCCAAGAATTTTATTACATTTTTCGATAATAATTGAATTTTTTCGAGGAATTTAATTAAAATTGTATTGCAAATATCTCAATTGATTTTCATAAAGAATTTAATCAAAATTTTTCGAAATAACTCGATTTCTGCGAATTTTATTAGTTTGGAAGAGAATTAAATTTTGTCATAGTTTTTAATTAAGTTTCTTTTCTTATAAAGCATTTTATTAAAATTCTTTTAAATGATAGAATTTTTGAGAAGATAATAATTCAACTGTCATAAATAATTTTATCAAAATTTTCCAAAGTAATTGAGTTTCTACGAAGAAATTTATTAAAATTCTTTAAAATAATTTAATTTCTGTGAATAATTTTATAAATTATGAAAATAATTCAATTACCATAAATAAAATTTTTAAAAATTCTTTAAAATAATTAAATTTTGACGAAAAATTTGATAAATAATTATGAAAATAATTGAAATCTTGCTAAGAATTTTATTACAATTTTCGAAAATAATTGAATTTTCTCGAGGAATTTAATTAAAATTGTATTAAAGGTATTTTGATTCTCATAAAGAATTTAGTCAACATTTTTCAAAACAATTGAATTTCTGCGAAGAATTTTATTAGGAAAATAATTTAATTCCTCTAAAGAATTTTATAAGTTATGAAAATAATTTAAATCTTGCTAGGAATTTAATTAACATTTTCGAAAATAATTGAATTTTTTCGAGGACTTTAATTAAAATTGTATTGAAAATATTCCAATACTCATAAAGAACGTAATCAAAATTCTTCAAAATAATTGGATTTCTGCGAAGAATTTTATTATTTAGGAAAAGAATTAAATTTTTTCAACGTATTTATTTAATTTTTTTTTGTTATAATGAATTTTATTGAAATTTTTGAAAATAATAACATTTTTGGGAAGAATTTTATTCAAGTCTTTCAAAATAATAAAATTGCGAAGAATTTTTTTTAAAATTCTTTAAAATAATTAAATTCCTACAATGGATTTGATTAATTAATTATTATCAATTGTCATAAATAATTTTATCAAAATTTTCCAAAGTAATTGAGTTTCTGCGAAGAATTTCTGGCCTTACATTTGCTAATAACAATAATTATTATTACTATTTTTGTTTCTCTGTTACTTTTTGTATTTTGCTTCTATCATTTTATTTCTGTTCCTCTTAGTATTATTACACTGATAGAATTATATATTTAAGAATATAATTTTGCTCTCCATTGAAATTAAATGATCATTTCACACAGGCTTTAATGGGAAATCCAATGGCACCGCCGCACATGACGCAGCAACACATGCAGCAACAAGTCTCGCAGCAACAATATATGCAGCAGGTCAGCGAACTTTCTTATTTCTCCATTTATTCGACTCAAGAATTGCAAACAGTTAAAGTTTATACAATCTTAACGTAACATGATATTGTGGTGCGTTGAAATTGCACGCATTGTTCAGTGCGAGATAAAAAAAATAGAAAAAATAAAAGAAAAAAGAGAGGTAAACAAAGGAACAAAAACTTGTGCTACTAGTTTCAATATTATATATATAGTGAAATTGCCTTCAATTACAGAGCAATTTTAACATCATGAAATGTTATTATAGTTCGAGTTTCTTTTGAGATGAAAGTTTTCAAATTATCGATATATAAAGGCCTTTGCAATATATCATTTCTTTTCTACTCTTCTGTCTTGTTTCTAGATTCCTTTTTATCTAGCACAAGATATTTAAGTAGTCTAATTAGTTTATATTATTTCAATTTTTACTTTTACATTTCAATTCCATATTAGAATTTTTTCTTTTGACAATTCGACAATTTTACAATTTCTAAACTCTGAAAATTAATTTATTTAAAACTTCACCTAAAGTTGTCAATGTTTAATTTATTTCTTCTTCAAATTGAATTTTTATTCCGCAATAACTTTACGACAAAATCAATAAAATTAATTTCAGTTTATAAAGTTTAAAATTGTTTTCCTCTATTTTTTTAATTTAAAACTTTTCGTTTTTAATCTCCAGTAATAGTAATTACTGAAAATTAAATTTAACTTAATTTTCAGTAATAAACGAAAATTGTACTAAAAATTAGAAACGAAAATATTTTTAATAAAAATTATTTCGAAAAAAATATCGTTCAAAATTTGAGGATCATATTAACGAGATCATATTAACTGTTTGAAATTTTTGAAATGTGCCGCTCTATCGTTTCTCCGCTTTTATTGCGGAGTCGATATTAGAGTTTGCGACTAAACTCGAGTCCTACTCGTCGATAAGTGTGAGTAACGCACCACAACAACAAAAATTATGGCTGCTGCTGCAAACGCATTTGAAAGTCCCACGAAAATATATCAAATAGTTTATATACAACAATCAGAAAACAATCTTCATGTGAGTAGGAAAACTTGAGTGATTGATGCTCCATTATTTTATTCTTTGTTTACAAAACGAGAGAGAGAAATTGAAATTGTAGAGAAAAATTCACGAAAACCGGAAGCAAGCCACGCGAATCATAACCTTGACGGTAGTTATTTTTGTTATTTTCCATCTATTTTTAAGTGTCTTCATAATATAAAGTACTAATTCTTTGAATTATGTATTTTTTTTTAATTCGCTCGTATTATTTTTATTTTGAAACAGCAGAAAAAAGTGAGCACTGGCATTATAACCTCATTATCTATTGTTTACACTGTTAACAACGTCTGCTCCGAAATTTACTTTTTTTTTTAAATAAGTTATTTTATTTTTGGAATTCGCATTGGATTTTTTCTATTTATTTTTTTAATATTGTCAAAATTTAATCAACTGTTTTTCTTTTAAAAAAAATTTTTTTTCTTATTTTACACTGCTTTTGTATTTATTTATTTATTTTTGTTTTCATTTCTTCTGCTGTTTCGAATTTATTATTCTATTTTCATATTTTAATTTTTTTAATACTTTTTATTATACTCAGTATTATATATTTAAAATTAATATATATATATTAGTTATTTTACTGCTTTGTTACTTTTATATAAAAATTTTCGGAGCATCAAAATTGTTTAGTCTTTTTCAAGTCTTTTGAAGAAAAACGAAATTTCCAGATTAAAAAAAAATATTTTTTTAAGGAAAATAAAATTAAAATGTAATTGTGTAAAAATTTTTGAAGCATCAAAATATTTAGTCCTTTTCTCAAGTCAGGGTTGCCATAAATATTTAATTTTATTTTTCCCTGACTTTCAGACAAAATTTTCACTTTTTCCCTGACCCTAAAGAATATTCTGATTTACTCTAAAAATTATTAGATACTCAAAAAAATGTTCTACTATATTTATTTACAAATTTCTTCAAAAGTAAAATTATTCGAAAACATCAATAACTTCGTTTTTAAATAAATGTTTAATCATTATTTATTTTCTGTAGGAATTAAAATTCTTCAAAACATTCAAATTAAAACCTTTTTGAAATTGAATTTCTGTGAAGAATTTTATTACTTTTGACAATAATTTAATTCCTCCAACGAATTTTATTCAAGTTTATAAAAATAACTGAATTCCAGTGAAGAATTTTATTATTTATATAAATAATTGAATTCTTGCAACGAATTTGATTCAAGTTTATAAAAATAATTGAATTTCGATGAAGAATTTTATTATTTATAAAGATAATTGAAATTATGACGAGAATGTTTTAAAATTTTTTGAACATAATTGAAATTCTGGAAAGAATTTTTATAACTTTTGAAAATAATTGAATTTCTGGAATCATTTGTAACTTTTCCAAAACTCAATTTTTTTTAGTATTTTTAACTAAAATTCTTCTATCAATCTGGTATTTATGAAAATTGTAAAAATTATTCATTAAATAATTTATAAGTCATAATTTTTATGGTAGTTCCTGAAAAATTAAGTTATTTAAAAAGAAATTATTGTCAGAAATAGAAAAAATTGAAGGTTTTGTATTAAAATTCGTGGTAATTTCATAGTTTACGAGGGAAACAAAAAAAAACATTAAAATTCAGAGTTTTCTCATGAATTTCAAAAATTCAATTTTTTTGCATTACTTTTACTAAAAATCCCTGACTTTTCCCTTAATTCCCTGACCTGTGACAACCCTGCAAGTATTCGAAAGAAAATTAAAATTTATCGAAGGAAATTTCCAAATTAAATAAATTTTTTTTGAAATTAGACTAATGAAATAATTTTTTCCAGGTTCCCCAGCAACAGGTGCAACCGGTGCAAGTGCAACAGCAGCAAATGATGCACATGAGTCCCGCGAGGAATGAATTGAAACAAGATTTATCAAGTCCACCACCTGTTAATTCATCTCAAGCAGCAATGGTTGCTCAAAGGGCACCGGCAAACACTTGTATTCGTCATGGTTGCCCAAATCCGGCTGTGGCAAACACCGAATGGGAAGATGAATATTGCAGTAATGAGTGCGTGGTCAGCCACTGCAGGTTTGTGTGAGCATTCTTTTTGGTTTTCTTTTCTCAACACTATTTTCAAAAAAATTCAAATTCTAATATTTTTTTCTTATTTTTTCCCTCTAAACAGAGATGTCTTCACAACTTGGGTCTCAACAAATCAACAACAGAATTTTTCAACTGTAAAATAGAACAAGTCAATTGTCAATTGGTAAAAAGAATCTTTTAAAAACACAATTTGACTGTGAAAAATGGAAATGGAAATGAAAAGAAGAAGATGAAGAAGAAGATAAACACGATCGCTTCGTACGAGGAAACTATTCGCACATTTTCATTTTTTTAGGGAAATGAAAGTTTCAACTTCTCTATTTATTGATGATGACCTCCCCCCACTCTTTATTAATCCAAGTAAATTCTACACACGAAGTTTTAAAAAATAACGAAGCGAAAAATATTTTTTTTGTTTTTGGAAAAAACGACGTCGAATGCTTCGAGAGTGTGAGAGAGAATTTATAAACGAAAAAATCCGTTGGAACTGAGGATTAAAAAGTACAAGTAATAAACAAAAAACAAAAAAAGAGAGAAAGAATGACGTATTGCATGTAAATAAATACGACGGTGAATGACGAATAATTTTCCTGTGTTTTTTCTTTATTTTTTTAATATTGTTTCCGTGAAAGTGAGAGCAACAATTTTTTGGACATGCAGAACGGAAGTTGTAGAATTCAAAAAGAAAAAGAATTGAGAACAAAAAAAAACTTGCATTCGGCAGTGCCATGGCTGGTTGTTTCACACTTCACATTTGAAAACTTAGCTAGGAATATAAACGAATCTATACATACATATAAATAAATATATAAATAAAGATAATTATATATAATTAAATAAATAAACCGAGCTGCGATCACGAAAAAAAAAGTGACCCGTCGTTAAACCCTGCGAACTCGGCGCAAATCTGCAGTATTCTATTTAATCTGAAAAACTTAACGAAGAACTAAAAGAAAAAAAAACTAGTCCAACATTGAGAATTCGATGAAAAAAAAAATTTCAATATCTAATCTTTTAATTTTCAATTTTTAAGAATTTCATTGTTGGAAGTTTATAGATTACTTCAAAAAGATAACAATAATGAAGAAAAAGAAGAATAAATAACGCAAACAGGGCTCCACTTATTTTTACATCATTTCTACTGGCATTCAATTTTTCATGTAATAATCTTAACTAGTTCCGACATTTTGGTATATCGACGGTTTTACATTAGACGATATCAATCATTTTTTTAACTGAGATATATAAAATATATTTGTTTAAATTAGAAAATACAACACTTTACGCTTTCTTCATTCATGAAAAATTTTATTTCCTTTTTTTGTCCTCTAATCAGTATAGTTAATCTCTGTTTTTTTTTTGTTTCGTTAAAGATCGAGGAAGCGCAAAGAGTTTTAATTTTTAATAAATTATTTAAGTTGATACAAAGAGAATTTCATAGTTTTTAAAAAAAAGAAAAAAAAAGATTTAAATATTTAAAAAAAAGAAGCAAGCGAGATATTTAAACAGCGTGTTTTGTTATTTTTAAAGATTTAGTAAACCAATTTGGGCTCTGAAATTTATCGTAACAAATGTATCGTTAAGAAAATGAAATGTTTCGCGCATTCTCAGAAAGTGCTAATTGAAAAGAATTCTTTACAAAAAGAAAATGCACTTTTTTAATTTTTTTTTTTTTTAAGTATTTTATTTTTACCACGATGATGTTATTTTAGCACTTGTTGAGAATGCCTTCAAGATTTTTTAATCGTTTGTTTTTTCATATTCTTATGTAAATATCTAAATATATTCTATAGATTTATAGGTTTTATTGTAAACATAATCAAACTGTATTATATTGATAACGATTTGTGGTATATTAAAATACTATATATGTACAACTATAGAATGCAGCAGGAATATTTGCATTTGGCTGGTGCTATTTAAATGAACAAAAATGGAAAAACAGAAAAAAAAAATTGCTTGAAATCGTGTAGAATCAAGAAAAGAAAAGAAAAAGTTTTGCCAAACGCAATGTTTTAATTGAATGAAATATATTTCTAATGAAATATATTTCGAAAGAAATAGTTTGGCATCTTTTTTTTCAATTACAATATATATTAAACGAACGACAGCGTTTTTTATAGATCTGAACTTTTTAAGTAATCCCGCTGTATCCTATAATTAATAAAAAAAAAATATTATAATTTAAAATAAATATTAAGATATTACTCAAACAAAATACAGAAAACACGCGAATCCTCCTTACCCTCTCGACATTGTCTTGTTCTCACGACACAAAAAAAAAAATGCGACACGATTTTACAATAAAAATATTCATAATTGCATAAACTTATATTAAAAAGGATTAAATCTAGAAACTATCCAGCGTATATAGTAGTAATAGCACTACACATCAAATGCTAATATATGATGGTGATTTGCAATGAATTTATGTTCGTTTTTCTTTGTTTTCTGTAAAAAGACTTAATTAAACAATTTCAGTCCCATATCGATTGTTATTTTTTGCAAAATTATTCCTAAAAAATTTCCTACTAATCCATTTCAATTTCAATTCCTCATAAAGGTTTATGGAAGATTTTCTTTTTTCGATTGTTTTCAAAAAAATGCGATTTTCAAAAAATGTGACTGAAAAAGTCATATTTTCGTTTTCCATTATTTCATTTCGTAATTAAAATTTTCATTTTTCTGCCAAATTTTCAATTACCAAAGATTTGAATATTTTTGTTTAAAAATACAACTTACTTCGATTTTTATAGTGTGAAATAATTTTTCAAATAAGTCAAAGTTTATTTTTCAAAGTCAAATCCTTCAAAAATTATTACTTTTAAACTTTTAAATAATTTTTTTTAAGAGAATTAAACATTTGAAATATAATATATGAATTAAAAAGTTTCTCAATAATTAAAATTTTGTTAAATTTCATAAAAGATAATTGATTTCTTTTCAAAAGTATTTCATTAAATTTTTTGAAACGCAAATTTCGAAGAATTTTAATTGCAAATTTTGAAAATAATTTTGAACTCTCAAAGATTTTAATAGAAAAATGTTCAAATAAAAATTAAAAAATTAAAGTTAAGGAAAATTAGCTCCAAAAAAAAATTATATAAAAACTTCGAAGAATTTTAATTGCACATTTTGAAAATAATTGAATTCTCAAAGATTTTAATAAAAAATGTTCAAATAAAAATTTTTAAATGAAAATTAAGGAAAATTAGCTCCAAAAAAAAAATGATATAAAAACTTCGAAGAATTTTAATTGCACATTTTGAAAATAATTGAATTCTCAAAGATTTTAATAAAAAAATGTCCAAATAAAAATTAAGAAACTAAAATTAAGGAAAATTGCTCCAAAAACAATTATATAAAACATTCAAAGAATTTTAATTGCAAATTTTGAAAATAATTATTTTCTTAAAGATTAACTCTCAAATAACTTAAAGATTTTAATAAAAAAAAGTTCAAATAAAAATTTTAAAATAAAAATTAAGGAAAATTAGCTCTAAAAAAAAATTATATAAGAAATATTTTGTTAGAAAGAAATATTTAGAATTTTTTTCATTTTATAAACTTTAATTATTTTCAATATTTTCAATTACACATTTTCAAAAAATATAAAAATGTAACAAATTCTTTTGAGAAAACAATTGTCTTCCAAATTTTCATTTAAAATACTTAAAAAAATTAAATAGTTTTTTAATATGAAATAGTTTACTCCTTGCGTCGAATTTTTAAAAAATTTTTGAAAATAATTAAATTCTTTCTTGGAAATTAATTAAAATTGTATTGAAAATAATTGAATTCTTATTTGAAGATTTTCCATAATAAATTTATAATTAAATTCTTTCGAAGAATTTTATTCAAATTCTATTGAAAATAATTTAATTCTTCAGAAAAATATTATTATTTATGAAAAAAATTGAATTCTTGCGAAGAATTTTATGAAAATTTTTGAAAATAATTCAATTCTTATAAAAAATTGTGTCAACATTTTTTATAATAATTGAATACTTTCGAAGAATTTTATTAAAATTCTTAAAGTAATTGAGTTTTTTCAAGAAATTTGATTCAAATTACATCAGAAATAATTGAATTCCTTAGAAAAAATATTATTATTTGCGAAAATACTGAATTCTTTCGAAGAATTTTATTAAAATTCTTGAAATTAATTGAATTGTTTTAAATAATATTTTATTATAATTTTCGAAAATAATGAAATTCTTTCGAGGAATATAATTAAAATTATATTGAAAATAATTGAATAACATTTAAAAAAACTTTTTTTTTCCTCAGAAAAATGTTATTAGGTATTCATAAGAATAATAGAATTCTTGCGAAAAATATTAAAATTCCTGAAATTAATTGCATTGTTTCAATGAATATTTTATTAAAATTTTTGAAAATAATTAAATTCTTTCGAAGAGTTTTATTACAATTTTTAAAAATAATTTTCAATTAATTAATCAACCAGTCGATCAGAATCAAAATTTCACAGAAATTCATAGAAAAAAATTATTAAAATTCAAATTAATCAACTAAATTGTGTCTAATATTCATAAAAATAACGAGAGAAATTATGAACACTTGGATGAATATTATTTCCGATTTTATTTTAGCGTCATTATTTTATAGTGTATTTGACAGAACAAAGAATAATTGTTAGTGACATAGTGTACACTGTACAATGAACAATTATCGAATATATTTACATTTTACAGGCGTATTTAGAATTTTAGCCTTAATGATATTGATACAATTTTGATACGATATACACAGAGAGGTGTGAATTGTCTATTAAACAATTTTTAATTTTTTTCTATTAATTAACTAAATCAATATATTAAATTAAATTTAATTAATTATTTAATTAAATTAAATTAAATTAAATTAATTAATTAATTTAGTCATTATACAACAAATTTCCAAGATCGATAATCATATTCGAATTTATCACTCTTCCATTTTTTTAACATTAAAAATAATCATTCTCCTTTTTATTTTGAATTATTTTGTAAAGATAAAAAAATCTTTGTATTAATATTAATAAATTGATAATTTATCTTTTTGCCATAAGAGTTTGCTTTGACAATTTCACCTCTATTCATGTGTAAAATCATTGAGAAAATGTACATTGGATACATTTAATTTTTTATATCAGATAATTATTGTATGTTATGCCAGAAAATAATCATCTCTACAGTTTTACTCCACTTAAAAGTTTTTTTTTCTTTTTTTATGACAAGTGGGACATTATTTTGATTTATACATACGAGATTTTTTTCTTTTTTAATTACATTGGCCGAAAAATATTCATTTTAAATTATCACATTTATTATTAAGGCCTACTTTCTCTTTACATCGTATGTTTTCTGTAACTTGCCCGCACTTTGTTGATAATTACATTTTGTGAATAATAATGTGTAAATAATTTTTCTATTTAATTAAATATTGAAATTAATTGCGAGAATTAAAAATTCTTTTTTGTTGCAAATTAATTTTACAAATTAAAATTAAATGAAGCACGGTAAGTAATTATATTTTAAAAATTTATAATAATATCACCTGTAAGTTATAATTTTTAATTTTAATAATAAAGGAAAAAATACATATTTTTTCTAAAACAAAAGAAAATTATAATAATTAGAATCAGAATGTCTTTAGAATAAAGTTGAATATTTTTATCTAATTCAATAAATTCGTTGTCTTTAATAATTAATAATCAACAAATTATTAAAAATTGTGTAATAAAATTTACTGTTTGTTTTGAACTTTTGAAATAAATTAAAAAGAATAAAAATGCAATGTATCAACAAATTGCTGATTGACATTTATAATTTTTTTTTTCTTAAACTGTCTCGACAGAAAATATGAATTTATTACAATTATTCCTTTCTACTTTTCAATAACTTCAAACTATATTTATATTTATTTTTTTCTATTATAATATATGGGAAGCTAGTGAACATAATAGGATATTTATTTTTATGTTTCGTTTGTGCATATGGACATTTTTTTTCCTTTTTTTTTGAAGAAACGAGAAAGCATTTATTACAATTATATTATTATTATATTTTTGTGTCACCTAATTGATTTTCATATAGAGTGTAAAAAGTCGTAAATACATTAGATATATCATAGAGTCAAAATATACATGATTATGTCAGTAAAGAGAAAAATAATAATGTAAAATAAATAGAAAATTTTTCTATTTTTTAAAATAAATAGAATTTTTTCTAATAATTATTTCGATTCTTTAGAATAAAATTAAGAAACCATTTTTCTTTTAGCTGAAATTTTTTCTCTTTCTCTGGATTTTATAATTAATATATTTATATATTTATAATTTTAATTTATTATATGTTTAGCTTCCGTTCAATAGAGTGCATAGAAATAGTATAACAAAATATATGAAATATTTATAAAACAAGTTCATATTATTAATTATGAAATTCAAATTTATTTTCCTTGAAAAATTTATTTTTATTGTAATTAAACTATTTAAAGATTTTGAATAGAAATAAATTGAAGAAGAAAGAAATTTAAATTTTCTCTAAATTCTGTTTTTTTGGTAATTGACAATAATTATTCAACAATACTGAACAAAATTTAGAGAAAATTTTAATTTCTTACTTCTTGAATTTCTTTTGATTCAAAATCTTTAAGTAGTAATTATTATAAATAATTGTTATAAATAATTATTATAAATAATTATTATAAATAATTATTATAAATAATTATTATAAAATAATTATTATAAATAATTATTATAAAATAATTATTGCAAAATTGAAATACTATAAAATAATGATTATAAAAATAAACTTAAAATAGTTATTACAAAATTAAAACATAAAATAATTATGACAAGGGTAAATTATTATAAAATAATAATTGTGTTTTACATAAATATGACTTTCAAAATTAATAATACGGAAAATTGAATAAATACCATTTCGTGCGTGGCTAAAGCCGTGTCTTATCACATAATTTTTCATTAAAATTTGTTTCTATATTTACAGTCACTGTATGACTCTTAAATTACTTAAGAGTCAGTTTTTTCTTACGAGATACGAATAAAATCAACTTTTCTTTTAACTCGTAATTTTTAATTATTTATACGTTAATATATTTTTTTAATTCGAATTTTCTGAGCTCCTTATTTACTATGAAAAGTTCCGTTACAATTTTTCTTTTCCATTTTTTTTTTATTAATAATTTTTTTTTTCTGACGCATATAATTATTCTCAATCTGCGATAGAGATAATTATGATTTAACCAATTTTTTTTTTTATTTTACTTAACTATAATTACAATTCTTTCGTTATTTTTTTTTTATACATATTGGACGTTGATTGCGTTCAATTTTTTTTTTTTTTTTTGTTTAACAGTGCTGTGCACGTTTCCTATATAATTATATATAACATATATACGTTATCAAAACAATTTTTATTTTAAAACAATTAACTTTTAAATGAAAAAATATATTTTAAATCTCTCTCTCTTTTTTTTCAAATCAGACGAAAAAACATAATTTACACATTAATGATAGATATGACATTTTTCTTTTAAAATTGTCAAGTGCATTTATATAAAACTTATTGATATTCTATAGGATATTTTAAGAAAAATGTTCATTTTAAAGAATTTTTGTTAATTAATTCAATTTTTGGTTCAAATAGAAAAATTAATTGAAATGGTAAATAAATAATTTGAATAAATAAAAAATTTTTAAAATCCAGTGTTGAAAATTTGAATAATCTAAAATTGATTTTCAATTGTCAAAATATAAAGTAAAATTTTAGAATTCTTGTCCTAGTTTAGAATTTAATTGAAAATCTAATTAGAGAAAAAAAATTTAATTTAATTTAATTTAATTAACAATTAGAAATTAAAATTTAAAAAATTAATAATTAAAAATTTAGCTTTAAAGTGAAACATTTTTCTCATTGTTCAATTAATTAATATTGGATAATATTAAACATTTGAAGCGTGAATTTACCTAAACCCATCACAGCAGTAAATACAATCTATGATATGGAATGATATGAAAATTCGATAGGAAGAGTACCAAGTGTGTACAAAAAATTGTCAAATCTCTGTTCTAAAAAGTGGTTAATTAATATTACAACATTAGAGTTTACTTAAAAATCTTATTTATACTTGAGTCGATGATAATAATATTTTTATTAGCAAGAGGAAGTTTCAATTTTTGTGCTTTCTTTAAAATTTTCCTTTTCACTTGTAAAAAAATATTTTTTTTTTTCAATTTAAACATTACAAGTGAAATAATTTCGATTTTTCTTCATTAATATGTATAAGAAGTACAAATATTATATTTTGATATGAGATCATTGTTCATTTGTTGGAATATTACAACATTTAAAAAAAAAGTCGAAAATCGAAAATAATATATAAAAATTTCTTTATCTTATTGAGATTTTTATTGCGCACAAAATAATTTCAAAATACTGCCCTCTGATTTTGTAAATTTTGTAAATAAAAGTTTTGTAAAGTATTGTAACATTTTTTAAAGTATAAAATTTCAGTCGAATATTGTAACAAAATTAAAAATATTGCGAGCAGTGTAGAAAACTGCGAGTAACATTAAAAAATAAAAATATTTTTCCAGTCTAACATTTTTTTTCCATTCCGTAATATATTGAAATTCGATATGGGAAAAAGTTTCGGTCTTCGGCAGTGATAAATTGGCTCTCAATATTTCGCAATAAATTTTTTAAAAAACAAAAAGTTTTTTTAAAGAATTATCAGAAATTGTGTAAATGAAAAATTATATAATCGAATAAATCGCAGAAAGTCAATATTTGCTATAATTTCATTTATATAAGAACAACTTTTCAATATATCATTATAAATTCAACATTTGTGATAGAATTGATATTTTTTCAACAATATTCAATAAAAAAATGTTTCAATTTGGCGTCTTTCATATTGAAACTTAAAAAAATTAACTTTCAAATTCTTCTTTCACATACAATTATGTTAAATTATTTTCTTTCAGTTTATTTTATACACAATATTCATAAGGAAGTATTTTATATAGATGAACTGATATGGAAATATATTTTCCAATAGATGCTTTTTTCACTCTTTTCACGCATGATTTGCGAAAAAATTGGAGTTAAAGAGCAAAATTAGAAAATAATTATTCTGAATCCAATTGCAAAAATTTTTTTATATATCAATTTGAGGTATAACAATTTCTTACTCTCAAAGAGCCTAGTTTTAGTAGGCAAGATAGGCATATGTTCTATTTTTCAAGAAAATATATTCTTTCGATTTGAATTCGTCACTTTTTGTTTTAATTAATTCACAATTGAATTTTTAATTCGACAATTCGTCGATTCATAATTATTTGCCGCTTTAGTCAATTTTTGTGCGAAAAATCTACAATAGAAATTTACTAATTTCCCCACTAACAATTAATTAAAACGATTATTAATTATTCCAAATGATTCTAAAATTAAATTAACACCGAATTAAATTATCGACTCAATCAGTGACTGATTCAAATTCAAAGAGTATATCCACTTCTTCGACAATTTAAAAATATATAGTTATTTTTTTTTTTATACAGACACAACAAGTCTCGATTAACGAACTTTTTCTTTTTTTTTTTTTGTTAAAGCGAAGAAAGTAAATGAGCCATGTTGTTCTAATTAACTTTTTCTTTCAGTTGTTTCTGATTTTCTTATTGCTCAGCTATCGAAGGGATCAAATGTCAAAGAACGCGTTTCTGGAAGCCGTCGAATATTACTATAGTTCTGATATAAATTGGAGGAATGTTCGGCATCGCCAGCACTAAATCGATGGGAAACTTTATTTTCCGAATCCCATGACTCTCGATAGCCTCTTGACATTACTCGACTGTCATTTCTGTTACCAAAGCCATAGTTTCCTGAAAGAATGAAGAGAAACAATTTTTTCTTTACTCAAGTCCTAAAAAACCAATTGAATTACTAAATTACCAATCAAAGTGGAAATATTTACGAAAATTGCCAATTTCTCGATAAGTAACAATTTTAATAATCTAAAATTTCGACAAATGCTAATTTAAAATAGATATTTAATGTAGAAAATTAAAATAAAAAATTAAATTATCAATACAGGGTTGCCACAAATATTTAATTTTATTTTTCCCTGACTTTTCCATGATTTACAGACAAAATTTTCACCTTCTCCCTGACCCTAAAGAATATTCTGATTCACTCTCAAAATTATTAGATACTCAAAAGCAAGTTTTATTCATTTATTTACAAATTCAAAAGTAAAATTATTCGAAAACTTCAATAACTTCTTTTTCAAATAAATATTTAATCATTATTATTTTTCTGTAGGAATTCAAATTCTTTTTGAAATTCAACAACTTTTAGAAATATTATTACAAAACATGAAGATGGCGATCACTCCAATCATATTTTGTAATAATTTAAATTACCATAAAATTTTTCAAAAAAGTTAATTATTTACAAAAATCCTAATAAAATCCTTCGCAAAAATTCAATTATTTTCACAAGTAGTAAAATTTCTCTATAAAGTTCAATTAATTAAAAAAATGGAATAAAATTCGTTGCAATAATTCAATTATTTTCATAAATAATAAATCGATTATTTGGTTATTAATTTTTAAATCAATTTTTATTAGAAAATTCTATAAAAATTAAATTATTCAAATTAAAAAATAAATAATATAATGAATAATTGAATGTTTGTTAAAATTGAATTCTCATAAAGAATTTTATAAATAAATTTTTAATTAATTGAATTCCTTTGACAAATTTTAATAAAATTTTTAAGAATAATAATTATATTTTATGAGGAATTCGATTGAAATATTGTATCAAAAATAATTAAAATCCTGCGATGAGTTTTATTATTTATGAAAATAATTAAAATTTTCCCAAGAATTTTATTAAAATTTTTCTAAAATAATTGTATTTCGGAGAAAAATTTTATTATTTATAAAGGTAATTGAAATTTTTACAACATTTTTTTTTTAATTTTTGAACATAATTGAATTTCTGCGAAGAATTTTATTATTTATATAAATAATTGAATTCTTGCAACAAATTTTATTCAAGTTTATAAAAATAATTGAATTTCGGTGAAGAATTTTATTATTTATAAAAATAATTGAATTCTTGAAAAGAACATTGTTAAATTTTTTTAATTGTTACGACGAATTTTATAAAAATCTGTTTAAATAATTGATATTTTTTGAAAAATTTTATGAAATTTTGTATTTTAAATAATTGAATATCTGAGAAAATTTTATTACTTATGAAAATTGAATTATTTTGAAGAAATTTATTAAAAATTGAATAAATGAATTCCTGTGACATTTTACCAAGAATTTTATTAAAATTTTTCTAAGATAATTGAAATTTTGCCGAGATTTTTTTTAAAATTTTTGAACATAATTGAATTTTTGCGAAGAATTTTTATAACTTTTGAAAATAATTGAATTTCTGCGAAGAATTTTATTACTTTTGAAAATAATTTAATTCTTCTAACGAATTTTATTTAAGTTTTAAAAAATAACTGAATTTCTGCGATGAATTTTATTATTTATATAAATAATTGAATTCTTGCAACGAATCTTATTTGAGTTTATAAAAATAATTGAATTTCGGAGAAGAATTTTATTATTTATAAAGATAATTGAAATTTTGACGAGAATTTTAAAAAAAAATTTTAAAATAATTGAAATTCTGCGAAGAATTTTTATAACTTTTGAAAATAATTGAATTTCTGGAATCATTTGTAACTGTTTCAAAATTCAATTTTTTTTAGTATTTTTAACTAAAATTCTTCTATCAATCTAGTATTTATGAAAATTATAAAAATTATTCATTAATTAATTTATAAGTCATAATTTTATGATAGTTCTTGAAAAATTAAATTATATAAAAAGAAATTTATTGTCATAAATAGAAAAAATTGAAGGTTTTGTATTAAAATTCGTGGCAATTTCATAGTTTACGAGGCAAAAAAAAACATCAAAATTCAGAGTTTTCTCATGAATTTCAAAAATTCAATTTTTTTGCATTACTTTTACTAAAAATCCCTGACTTTTCCTTGAATTCCCTGACCTGTGGCAACCCTGAAATATAAAAGAGAAAATTAAAATAGAAATTTAAAATAGAAAATTAAAATTGAAAATTGAAATATAAATTTAAAATAAAAAATTAAAATTGAAAATTAAAATAGAAAATTAAAATAGAAAATTTAAAGTAGAAAATTTAAAGTAGAAAATCAGAATAGAAAATTACGAAAATGTACAATAGAAGTGCTGGAATTTTTTTCAATAAAGTTTAGATTAACATTCGTAGAATTAGCATTGATAGAATCTATTTTCGAAAAGAAATGATACGATTGTAATAAATGTCGACGATATTGGAATTTTTTTTACCCCTGCGAGGATCTGTATAATGTATAAAAGGAGACAGTCTGGAAGAATTCGTCGGTCTGAAAATCACCTTCTGGAAGTCTAATTATTCTGCGAAACGAGATAGTTCAAAATTCAATCAACGTATCTACAAGAAAACCTAATTTTCCTCTCCAGCATATGCTAATTCACCCTTGGTTCTTCCTTTAATTTTCTACGTTCAGACTCTGGACCTTTTACTCCCCCTTTCGCCTGTCAACTTTCCTGAGGAACTTCATCATTATTATTTTTATTGTCACACTCTAAATCTAAAGCAGTGAAAATATAATTTTGATAATATAAATTTATCTATTATTGACTCGATTAATTTCTATTCTATAAAATATAGAAAAGAAGGGAAGGTAATATTTTTCTTTAGTTAATGATTAATATATAGGGCAAATTTAAAACTGTTCCACCTACGAAAACCGATCGTAAGACGTGTACTTTTTAGGTATTTTTATTTTCAATTTATAATTTAAGTGAATTAATTTATAATTGAGTGAAATTAATTTTTAATATAATTTGTCTTTATATTTTTCTAATTTTCTCTCAATTTCGAGAAATTGTTTGAAATTTAATATTCCAAACATCTCAAAACACTAGAAACTATAGAAGAGGTTTTAAGATTTCAGCAATATTAGATTTCAAGCAGGAAAATGAGTAAAAAAATTAGAAGAAATTTTTGTACACAATAAAATGCACTTAAAAAATACTTTCCTTGCAATCGTCTTTTGTAGATAATACAGTTTATTGCAGGAATAATAAATAATAATAAATAAAATTAAATTAAAGAATTAAATAGTCAATAAATAATAAGGTTTTATTATTATTTAAATAATTAATTAATTATTATTTTATTATTCATTTTTCTTTACTTTAGTATTTTTAATTAGATTATAATTTAGATTTAGATTAGATTCAGATTAAATTTAGATTAATTTAGATTTAGATTAGATTTAGATTTGAATTATATTAAATTAACTGTTTATCTTTTGAACAGTTCAATTTCCATGTGAATATATTAATAAAATAATAAATTACCTGGTGAATCAGATGGTGAATGCGGTGGAGTTCCACCAATTGGAGAAAGAGGTTCATAAGGTGGTGGCGGAGGGGAAGATGGTGACGGTGTAGGCGAGGGTGGAGGAAGCCTCAGGACGGATTCTGGTTCAAGGCCCAAAATTTTGAGAACACGATGAGGATCTGTCCGAACCCAAATATCCAAAATATCAACGGGCCAGTCTGTTTGTGTGCAAACATCTATTAATCTCGCTGGTGGATTCCAGCAGAGGGCATCGGGAGGATGAGACGAACTTCTCGCCAGAACTCCACTTCCTGATCTACCCGCTGGCATTGGAAGATTAGGATTACTTTGCGGTGAACTCGCCAGGATTTGCAGGGCTTGAATCGCATTCCTCACCTGCAATGAAAATCAATTATAATCAATTATAATTAACCAGCATTTATTATTTAACATTTATTATTATTATTATGCAAATTATAAAATTTTATATTTTCAAATTTAAATTAAAAAAAAAATTTTTTTTTCATTACTAAAATTTTAAAAATTCACTTATCAAGTAGGGGAATGTAGTCAAGGTTGGCCTACTGTCTAGGTAGGCCACTCGCGTTTTTTTGTCAAGTTCACTAGCGCCACCTACGCGCATTTTTGTCGAAGCTTGTCTTAGTGAAACCTAACTTTTTGTTCAATTACATTTTCGGAAAATCGAAAATTGTGTTTTCTGTGACGTCGGTACAAAAAAAGCTCAAAAAAAGTTTTGTGCATAATGTGAAAAACCATTAATAAAAGATAAAAAACAAATTGAATCGTCAAGGCAAGTATGCAGAAAATTTGTGGGACTCATGGTTGAAAGGAAAACAAAGTAAAAAATCGAATCCCGAAACGTATTTCTTTATGGTTACAACAATTCGGTAATGTTACTTACTGTCAAGGTCGGCCACTATGTGTTTAAAATGCGCAAAGTTGAGGACGAGCTACTTCATTTGCAAAAACTGCAATTCTGTATAACTCATAATATAATTGATCATCTTATTAATATTTTTATTTAATTTTATTAATATTTTAGTGCAAAACTTTTTTTTATTTATATTTATTTTTTTATATTGTTTATTGTTATTATTTTGTTATTTCATAAAGTTACAAACTGTAAACAATAAAGAATCAATTTTCCGTAACTCCAAACATGTTATTTTATTTTTTAAAGATTAATGCCCTTTGAATTTTAAACATGGCCGACCTTGACTGTAATGGCCAACCTGGACTACAAATTTTTTTTTTTTTAAATCTTTATAACTTTTTCATTTTTAAACCTGTCAATTTACTTTGTACAGAAAAAATGTTCCTATTAAACAGGACTTTCCAACCATATACTTCAATTGTCCAAATTCATTTTTAAAAAAAAGTTATAAACAAAAGTCAAAAAGGTGGCCGACCTAGACTATGTTCCCCTACATAATTAATTATTGTTTATATTTTCAGAAATTGTAATATAATTCTTCACAAGAATTCAATTATTTTCATAAATAAATAAAATTCTTCGGAAGAATTCAATTATCTTTATAAATAATAAAATTTTTTGCAAAAATTCAAATATTTTCAACAAAATTTTAATACAATTTCACGAAAAAATTCCATTATTTTCTAAATTTTTAAGAAATTCATTGAATCTATTCAATTATTTTTTTAAATATCTAATAAATTCTTTGCAAATATTCAATTACTTTTAATGATTTAAATTTTTTCTTTCTCGTTTTCTTATGGTTATTTAAAATCTTTTTTTTCTGTAAAATACCTTAATTTTCAAAACGTTCAATAAATTTCTTGAAAAATATTCAAATATTTTTTTTAAAATTTAAGAAATTCCAAGGTATATAATTCCAAAATTCAATTATTTAAAAAATAATTTAAATAAATCTAAAATTGAGTTATTCTCCAAACTACAATTATTTTTAAAATTGTCTGTAAAATTTATTTTAAAAATTCAATTATTTTCAAAATTTTTAAGAAATTTCTTGTAAAATATTAAATTACATTCTATAAAAATTAGAAAATGATACAATTTGTTTATAAAAATTTAATTCTGTCAATTTTTTAATAAAATTCTTGAAAAATTAAATTTCTTTTTATAGAATTTAAAAACTAAGTTTTCAGAATTTTAAATAAATAATTTCTTTAAAGAATTCAACTATATTCAAAATTTTTGACGAAATTCTTCACAAGAATTCAATAATTGTCATAAATAATAAACATTCTTCGAATAAATTCAATTATTTTCAATACAATTTTAATAAAATTTCACAAAATGATTCAATTTTGAACAAAACACCAAGAAATTCTTCAAAAGAGTTTAATTATTTTCTATATTTTAAGAAAATTCCCTGAATGAATTAAATTATTTTACAAAATTGTAATAAAATTTTGAGGAGAATTCAATTATTTCCAATAGTTTTAAGAAAATTCAATGAGTAAGTGTTTTAATTTCAATTATTAAGAAACGCGATTATTTTAAATACTTGAAAGAAAGTCTTCGTATAAAATTCAATTACTTTCAAAAATTTTAATAAAATTCTTCGCAATGTTATCAACAAATTTGAACGGAATAAATGAATTCTTTCGAAGAATTTTTTTATTTATGAACTGTTTTAAAGAATTTTATAAAAATATTTGAAAATAAATAAATTCATTCGTGCTATTTTATTTACATTGGATTAAAAATAATTTAATTCCTGCAAAGAGTTTTAGTATTTGTAAAAATAGTTAAATTCTTACGAAGAGTTTATTAAAATTTTCGAAAATTATTGAAGTTTATGTAAATATTTTAAAATATTTTATTTCTTCCGAAGAATTCTATTAAAATTGTTTTGAAAATAATTGATTTCCTGCAAAGAATTTTACTATTTATAAAAATAATTGAATTCTTGCGAAGAATTCTACTATTTATAAAAATAATTGAATTGTTTCGAAGGATTTTAGAAAATAATTGAATTTATTCGAAATGTATTAAATTTTTTTTTAAATTCAATTCTTCCGAGGAATTTAATTAAAATTGTTTTTAAAATAATTAAGTTTTTGCACAGATTTTACTATTTAAAAAATTAATTTAATTGTTTAGAATAATTTATTAAGATTTTAGAAAATAATTGAATTCTTTTGTGAAATGTTATTAAAATTTTGTTAAGAATAATTGAATTTTTGCAACAAATTGTATCATTTATGAAAATAATTCAATTTTTCCGAAGAATTCTATTATTTATATAAAAATAATTGAATTCTTGCGAAGAATTTTATTAATATTTCTGAAAATATAAACAATAATAATTAATTTCGTACTTAATAATTGAATTTTTAAATTTTTGATTAAAATCAATTAAAATCGGAGAAAAATTAAATTTTTCTAAAAGTATTACCAAAAAAGAATGTTATATATTCTTATCTAAAGTTTTGAACTCGTAAAACTTTAATTTCCTTCTTAAGGAAATAAATTACTGATAAAAGTCAGTGGACATGCCGACCGGTCAGAGTTTATTTATAGTTAAACAATTTAATGCGTTATCAGAAAATGTTTTTATATACGATAAAATTTTATTGTTTGCTTCCATAAAGATTGTTGTGTTTTTTAAAACAATTTTTTCCTTTACTATTGTTTTCCAAAACGTGTAATTACACTATCTGTTAGTTTTGCGTAAATATTTTTTTAATAATAGTTTAAAATGTAAAAACTGTATATTGATATTATTTTTTACTTTGTAAACTGTTATTAAAAGAAAAATATTTGTGCATTTCGAAAAAAGAATAATATTATCTCTTTGTTTCTGAATCTTAAAAATCTTGTTGAGAATTATAAAGGAATCTTGTTGAGAATTATTAAGAATCTTGTTAAGAATTTTTAGGAATCGTGTTAAGAACTTTAAGAATTTTGTTAAGAATCTACAGAATTTCGTCAAGAATCTTAAGAATCACAAGAATCTTGTGAAGAATCGTTGTTTTACAAGGGTTTAAAAATTAGTTTGTGTTATTAATTTTGTTTTATATTTACCTCGTAACTGAGCATAGTAACATCTTGATGCAAAGTCGAAACTTGTGTATCAAGCCTTTCAACTGATCCTCGAATATGATCTTCTACAATATCATGAGGAGGAACTGCTGTTGTTCTACTTCGAACTAAAACACCCTTTAGCGGTCTTCTGCCTTCTCTACATTTATCCCTTTATAACAGAGAAAATTCGTTTAGCCATTGTGTTGAGAATTAATAATTTCATGTACATAATTTATTAATACAAACCTAAACTTTGCGTGCCTTGGACTCGTTGCTGAATGCAACGGCGATCTATTTGGTGGTGACAAAGGAGACGTTTCGCCCTCTTCAGGAACGTTCTCGTCGTCCTCACTAATTGACGGAAGAGTTAACGATGGACCATTCATGTCTGATTCTTGCTGTAAAATTTATTTCCACTATTATAATAACAATAACTCCAAAATCTCATTTGTTAGTGACTATGTGTAAAAAAGCAGGCGGAAAAAATTAACAATACATTTGACAAATAAAATTCAGAAATGACAATTCAAAATTAAAATTAACTGCAAAACCTTCTTATTTTTTATGTATACGAAGAAAAATATAAAGTAACTTTTACTACTTTCATAGTAAAACATTTCTGGTAACTTTTATTACTTTCGTAGTAAATTTTGCTACGTTCGAAGTAAATTTTACTAATTGTTTACAAATTGTTCTTTGAACGTAGTAAACTTTACTTTGAACGTAGCAAAATTTACTCCGAAAGTAGTAAAAGTTACGAAAAATTCTTTACCAGAAATGTTTTACTATAAATGTAGTAAAAGTTACTTTATATTTTTCTCCGTGTAAAAAAGCACAGAAAAATTTAACAGATGACAATTGAGAATTAAAATTAACATTAATGACAATTGAGAATTAAAATCAACAAATTGACAATTCAGAGTTAAAATTAACAAATGACAATTGAAAATGAACAATTGACAATTGACAATTGACAATTGAAAATGAACAATTGACAATTACCAATTGAAAATTAATAATTGACGATTAACAATCAAGAACAATTTAGTTGGCACAAGGCATCAGGATGTATAAATTACCTCAGCCTCGTAGCCTTCGCGAAGATTATAAGTGAGATCGTGTTGAATTTCATTCGCGAAGACTTGTTGATATTCGGGATACATTCGAAGTACATCAACCAATCCTTGTATGTGGATGCACTTGAGATCACAGTATGTTAAAGCTTTCACATCACAGCTTGATTTTACCACAACATCTGTTGCCACAATACCAGGACCTCCATTTGCCCCATGTTGAGGATGCTGTGAGTGAATGTCACTGCCTACTAAATCTCCTTTACCTGTGCAATTAATTAAAATACACGTCAGTCAATGATTGTCAAACGAGCAGCAAATAAACTTATCAAATTTAGTGATAAACATTATTTTCATCAATTATTTCCATGCCATAATTCTAAAATTATTTACTTACAATAATTCTAAAATTATTCACCTACAATAACTGAATAAATTATTTACTTACAATAATTATTGAATTATTTACTTAAAATAACTCAATATATTTATTAACTTACAATAATTATTGAATTATTCACTTAAAATAGCTCAATAATTATTTACTTTAATCAATTCAACAATTATTTATTTACAATAACCTAATACTTATTAATTTGCAATAATTATTGAATTCTTTACTTACAATAACTCAATAATTATTTACTTAACATAATTCAATACTATTATTTATTAAAAATAACTCAATAATTATTTACTTACAATAATTTAATAATTACTGAAACTTAAATTTTTTTTCCCCTAACTTTTAAAACAAAATTTTCTTGACCCTGATAAAATATTATGATTCACTTTAAAAATGATTAGATACTCAAAAAAATGTTCTATTAAATTTTTTTTACGATTTTCTTTAAATGTAAAATTATTCGAAAACAACAATAATTTTTTTCTTAAATAAATACTAAATTTTTTTTTTAATCTATTATTTTTAATTGTTTCTAAAAAACTTCTTTGAGAATTCAATTATTTAACTACCTACCTAAATAAATAATTTTAAATTCTCACAAAGAATTTTATCAACAAATTTTTGAATAATTCAATTTTATCGACGAATTTTAATAAAATTTCTAAAAATAATAAAATTTTTCGAGAAATTCGATTAAAACTGTATTAAAAATAATTGAATTCCTAAAAAGAATTTTATTATTTTTGAAAATAATTGAATCCCTGTAAAAAATTGTATTATATTTATGAAAACAATTGAATCATTGCAAAGAAATTTTTATACATTTGTAAAAAATTTAATTTCTGTGAAATTTTTATTATTTATGAAAATAATTATTGAATTTTGCAAAGAATTTTATTAAAACTCCTGAAAATAATCGAATTTCTAAAATGAATTTTATTATTTTAGGAAATAATTTAATCCCCGTAAACAATTTTATTATTTATGAAAATAATTAAATTATTGGGAATAAATTTTTAAAAAATTTCTTAAAAATTGAATTCCTGCAAAATTTTTATTATTTATGAAAATAATTAAATTTTGCAAAGAATTTTATTAAAATTCCTGAAAATAATTGAATTCCTGAAATTAATTCTATTATTTATGAAAATAATATTGAATCCCTATAAAAAATGTTATGTTGTTGGAAATTAATTGAATTATTGTAAAGAAATTAATAAATAATTTGTAAATAATTGAATTTCTGTGAAATTTTAATTATTTATGAAAATAATTGAATTCCTGTAAACAATTTTACTATTTTTGAAAATAATTGAATTATAGCGAAGAAATTTTTTTAAAAATTTCTAAAAAATTTGAATTCCTCTGAAATTTTTTATTATTTATGAAAATAATTGAATTTTGCAAAGAATTTTATTAAAATTCCTGAAAATAATTGAATCCCTGTAAACAATTTTATTATTTATGAAAATAATATTGAATCCCTGTAAAAAATGTTATTAATTAGGAAATTAATTGAATTATTGTAAAGAAATTTATAAATAAATATGTAAATAATTGAATTGCTGTGGAATTTTTATTATTTATGAAAATAATTAAATGTTTGCGTAAAATTCTATTAAAAATTTTTTAAAATAATTGGATTCTTTTGGAAAATAATATTAAAATAGTAGATATATTAAAAATCATTGAATTCAGGAAAATTTTTTAAAATAATTGAAATTTTGTCAAGAATTTCATTAAAATTTTTAAAAATAATTGAATCCCTGTTAACAATTTTATTTTTTATGAAAATAATTGAATTTTTAAGAAGAAATTTTCAAAACAATTTATAAAAAAATTGAATTCCTGTGAAATTTTTATTATTTATAACATAATTTATATTTATTAAAATTCCTGAAAATAATTGAATTCCTGTAAACATTTTTATTATTTATGAAAATAATGGAATCCCTGAAAAAAATGTTATTATTTAGGAAATTAATTGAATTATTGTAAAGAAATTAAAAAAAAATTTGTAAATAATTGAATTGCTGTGGAATTTTTATTATTTATGAAAATAATTAAATGTTTGCGTAGAATTCTATTCTAAATTTTTTTAAATAATTGAATTGCTGTAGAATTTTTATTATTCATGAAAATAATTAAATGTTTGCGTAAAATTTTATTAAAAATTATTTTAAATAATTGAATTTCTGCGAAGAATTATATTACTTTTGAAAATAATTTATTTTCTGCAATTATTTGTAACTTCTCCAAAATTTAATTTTTTTTTTAGTGTTTTTAATTAAAATTCTTCTATAAATCCATTGTTTTTAATAATTAATTGAACATATTTTTAAAAATTTAACTAATTTTAGAAGAATTTGAATTATTAACATTTTTCAAAAATCTAAGTTCTTTAAAATTTCAAATTAAATTAGTTTAATTAGAGTTTAGTTTGAGTTTAGTTTGAATTCAGTTTTAAGTTTTGAGTTTAACTTCAAAGAAATAATAAATTTTACTCCACATTCGACATTCGATCAGCGAGGACTTGTTTTTGACTTTCTTTTCATTCATGATGAGAATATGAAAGAAAAAAAGAAAGAATTTTCTTTCTTTCGTTCTTTCTTTCACATTCTCTCATCACATGAGAAGGTATTATTTTTTGGTTCATTTATCCGGAAAAACCTCGAGTGGCATAAAGTTCCCCTACAAGGATCTGCACTACTTGAGCCATCGTTTTCCATTTTATTCGACATTCTAGAGTCCTGTCTTATAACTCTACTGTGCATTCACCCTCTTTATCACTCACTCCAATCATATCCTTACAATTTTCACTTCCCTTATTTCTACTCGCACATTTGTTCTATTATCTAAGAATAAAATATAATATACACTAATATTTCTATATTACCACAGTAATAATTTTCCCATTCACTGCATTAACCACCCTATTCTTAAAGAAGAATGATTAAATAAATACAAACATGTATACAATAAAATATTACCGAAAAAAAATAATTATCTAATCTTAGCTTTGAGAGTATATTATAAAAAATAATTTTTCTGAATATTTTTCCTATTTGCAGAAATTCTGAAAATTTATATTAATTTTACTTGTGGAAATTTATATCAATTTCACATGTTTTGAAAATTTATTTCAATCTTTTCATTCTAAATAAGAAATTTTTTTTCTGACTTAAAAAGAAGAAATGGTTTTTATTTAATCGTTCGGAATTTTAGAATCATTTCGAAACTTTGAAACAAATATTTATTAAAAACCATTTGTTCGAATGTATTCGTTTTATTATTTTCCTCTTTAAATTGCAGGAAATAAAAAAACGAATACAATCGGAAAAGTGGTTTTTTAACAAAAATATGCTTTTTTCAATTTTTTTTCTTGATGTACAATGTAAAACATTTTAATTTTTAATTTCTTTTGACTCCCCGATGAGGAAATCACTTAGATTTCAAAACGTTGAAGCATATTTTTATTAAAAAACCACTTGTCCGAATGCATTCGTTTTATTATTTCCTGCAATATGAAAATAATCAACTCGAACGTTAAACATTAGTTCATATTTTCTTTTTATTCGGAAATCATGCGAAATTAAAGTAGAGATTAATTTTAATTGTTATTCTTATTATTCTTACTTTTGTAAAATTTTAATTTTAATTTTAATTTTAATTTCTAATTTTCTATTTCTATTTCTATTTCTACTTTAATTTTTAATTTTACTTTTAATTTTTATTTCTATTTTTATTTCTACTTTTATTTTAATTTTTTAATATTTTTATTCTTATTGTTATTGTAATAATTATTTATAAATTTTTACCTAATATGGCGACAACCATGCTATTTTGCACAACTTCCATACTACCATTACAGAGATAATAAATGTACGAAAGAGCGTCTCCCTTATGAATAAGGAATTCGCCCGGAGCACAGAAATTGTTTCTGATGTGTAGCGAGAGAAGTTTGAGGCATCCTTGAGAAGCACTTTCAAATATTGGCAAGCTCAAAATTTCCCGATGCAAGTGCATTGATACGTCGCCCCTCAGCTCTTCCGGAAACTCTTTAAGGGTCTGGAACAAGATGTTGAAAGTTGAATTAAGATGCGCCATAAAAAATCAAATACTCTACCGTCTGTTTTATTAAATTCTTTTTTTTCTTTTTTTTTGCTATACAATATTTAGAATCTTATTTTAAGGTATATTAGATTTTTTCATAAATCCAAAAACGTAATATTTTTGTAGTTTAATTTAATTAATTAATTATTATTAATTTAATTATTATAAAATATTAAAGATGACCGAGTGATGAAATCATTATTTTATATTATAAGAATATTGTTACTCTAACTTCCTTAGAAGTGATTTGCATCATTTTTCAATTTAATTATTATTTTCTAGAAATTTTAACTAAAATTCTTCTTTAAATCAATTATTTTTCATAATTTTTGAAAAAGTTCTTTGAGAATTTTCAAATCCATTTGTTTTACAATTCAATTTTACGAAATTCTCATCGATTATTTGGACATTTTTAAATTGTATATTAGAAAATAAAAACTTGAAATAGTTTTTAAAAAATACAATTAAACTTTTTCAAAAAAATTAATTCTACAGAATTGTTAGTTAAAACTATGATAAATTCAAATTTTCAAAGATTTTAATTTGAAACCTTTTCGAAATTCAATTATTTCTAAAAATTCATGCTATTATGCTTTTAATATTCAATTATTGTCTAAAATTTTTACTAAAATTTATTTTTAAATCAATTTTTATTAGCAAATTCTACTAGAATGCAATTATTTAAAATTTTAATAATAAATTTTTAATAATTCAATTCTTTCGAAGAATTTAAATAAAATTTTTAAGAATAATTGCATTTTTCGAGAAATTCAATTAAAAATTTACTAAAAATAATTGAAATTCCGCGACGAGTTTTATTAATTATGAAAATAATTGAATTCCTATAAACAATTTTATTATTTATGAAAATAATTTAATTAATAAGAAAGAATTTATAAAAAATTTGTAAAATAATTGTAAATATTAACTGAGATTCATTTTTAAATCAATTTTTATTAGCAAATTCTACAAGAATGGAATAATTTAAAATTTCAATACAAAAATAAATAATTAATTGAATAATTGAATATTTCTTAAAATTGAATTCTCAAAAAGAATTTTAATAACAAATTTTTAAATAATTTAATTCATTCGAAGAATTTTAATAAAATTTTTAAGAATAATTGCATTTTTCGAGAAATTTGATTAAAATTGTATTAAAAATAATTTAAATTCTGCGACGAGTTTTATTATTTATGAAAATAATTGAATTATTGCGGAAAAATTTATAAAAAAAATTTCTAAATAATTTAATTTTTGTAAAATTTTTATCATTTAAGAAAATAAGTAAATGTTTGCGTAGAATTTTATCGAAAATTTTTTTAAATATTTGAATTCTTTTGGTAAATATAATAATTAAAATAGTAGTTATTGAAAATCATTGAATTAAGGAAAATTTTTGATAATATTTTAATGTCGGCGAAGAATTTTGGTATTTATAATAATAATTGAAATCCTGACGAGAATTTTTAGACAATTTTTGAAAATAATTGAATTATTGCGAAGAATTTTATTAGATACACTTAAAAATAATTGAATTCTTGTGATAAATATTTGTTTTTTATGAAAATAATTGAATTTTGCAAAAAATTTTTTTTAAATTCCCTAAAATAATTGAATTTCTAAAATGAATTTTGTTATTTATGAAAATAATTGAATTCTTGTAAAAAATGTTATTATTTAGGAAATTAATTGAATTATTGCAACGAAATTTGTAAATAATTTGTAAACAATTGAATTTCTGTGAAATTTTTATTATTTATGTAAATAATTTAATTATTACGAAGAAATTTTTAGAAAAATTTGTAAAAAATTGAATTCTTGTGATAAATATTTATTTTTTATGAAAACAATTGAATTTTGCAAAGAATTTTATTAAAATTTTTGAAAATAATTGAATTCTTAGAATTAATTTTATTGTTTATGAAAATAATATTGAATTCCTAAAATTAATTTTACTCTTTGTGAAAATAATATTGAATCCCTGTAAAAAATGTGATTATTCATGAAAATAATTGAATTATTGTAAAGAAATTTATAAACAATTTGTAAATAATGAAATTCCTGTGAAATTTGTATTAATTATTAAAATAATTTAATGTTCCCATAGAATTTTATTAAAATTTTTTTTAAATAATTGAATTCTTTTGGAAATTTTTCTAAAATCGTAGATATTAAAAATCATTGAATTGAGAAAAATTTTTGAAAATAATTGAAATTTTGTCACGAATTTTATTAAAATTTTTGAAAATAATTGAATTTCAGAGAAGAATTTTATTATTTATAAAGATAATTGAAATTTTGACTAGAATTTCTTTTTTAATTTCTGAACATATAATTGAATTTCTGCAAGAAATTTTATTACTTTTGAAAATAATTGAGTTTCTGCAATCAATTGTAATTTCTCCAAAATTAAATTTTTTTATTGTTTCTTACTAAAATTATTCTATAAATCCATAATTTTTAATAATTAATTAAACATTAAAAAAATTCAACTAATTTCAGAAGAATTTGAATTATTAACATTTTTCAAAAACAAAAAAGACACAAAAATTCAGAATTTTCTTCTGAATTCTGAAAATTTAATTTTTTCTATTACTTTTAATAAAAATTCCTGACTTTTCCCTGAATCTCCTGAATAATTCTAGTTTCTCTGAATTTTCCCTGACTAGCTCTGGGAAGTCAGGGAAAATAATATAAAATAAAAATAATTTAAAATATATTTATCATTTTTGCTTAAATATTACGTTTTTATCAAGTAAGAGGAAACGAAAGAAGGAAAGAAGCAGAGCCAGCTTTATTACCTCATGTATATCAATTCCGTGATTCAGTGACCACATCGTTTGAAAGTAATCTTGCATCCTCTGCTTGAGCTCGTCCGGTATCTGATGAAGGACCAGAAAATCCTTCAAATCCCTCCACTTTGATTGATATAATGATCTCCTTGAATACATCCTTTGAATAATTGCCGTCACATTACCAAAAACTACAGCGTGCATTAGGGCTGAAAAAAAATTACATTTCACAATTATTTATAATTTTCAATAATTTACCGAATTTTCCAAAAATAGAAATACAAATTTAAATAAATTTAAATAATAATTAATAAAATTTAAATAAAAATAAAAATCAATAAAGAAAAAAAAAAAAAAAAGAAAAGAAAAAGAATGAATAATTTATTCATTCTACTTTCTCTTATAAAAATCTTCCATTTATTCTTCATCTTAAAAAAAATTTAACTCACCTCCTACAAGCATTGTCATAATAGAAAATATTTTTTCAAATGTCGTATTTGCTGATACATTTCCAAATCCTACTGAAGTGAGACTACTGCATGTGAAATATAGTGCAGTCACATAGCTATCCATTCGAGTGACATTTTGCACGGGAATTTTTAGTCTGTCTGCGAGAATGTGAATCCAGCCTGTAAAACGAAAACGAGATCATAAATCGTTTAAGTATTTTGTGTGAAATTTTACTTTTTTAGATAGTCATTCTATATTCGTTTTAATAGCTCAACAATGTCAAGCAATCTCGATTTATGTTCTCCAGTTTTTCACCAAATTTTTCTCCCCCTAAAAAAAGACTTTTACCATTATTTTAACTCTCTTTTTTTGTATTTTCAATTAAATACTTAATTACTTTGGTAACAAAAGGGCACAAAAAAAATATCCAGTGACAAATCCATCTGTTAAGCCAAGGCTCGAACAAAAATAAAATCGATCCAAAATGTGAATTCAAAATGTTCAAAATTTTGATTTTGTTTTATAACAATTAAAGTTGACCGAGTGATAAAATTATCATCAATTCAATTATTAATTTCAAGAATTAAAATTCTTCTATAAATGCATTATTTTTAATAATTTTTGAAAAAAGTTTTTTGAGTATTTTCAAATTTATTTATTTACAATATTCAATCTTTACGAAATTTCAATTATTCGTAAATTCTTCAATTAAAATTATATTAGAAAATAAAAACTTCAAAATAATAAAAAAATACAATTAAACTATTTCGAAAAAATTAATTTCAAAATTCAATTATATCTAAAAATTCACGCTATATTGCTTTTAATATTCAATTATTATCCATAATTTTAACTTAAAAAAATTTTATTCAAATTTTAATTTTAACTAAATTAAATCAATTTTTATTAGAAAATTCTACTGGAAATCAATTATTTAAATACAAAAAAAAAATATTTTATTGAATAATTGAATGTTTCTTAAAATACAATTCCCATAAAGATTTTTTTCAATAAATTTTCAAATAAATGAATTCTTTCGACGAATTTTAATAAAAGTATTAAGAATAATTATATTTTTCGAGGAATTTGATTAAAATTGTATTAAAAATAATTGAAGAATTTTATGAAAAAAATTAAATTATTGCGAATAAAAAATTTGTAAATAATTGAATTCCTTTGAAATTTTACTTACTTATGAAAATAATTAAATGTTTGCGTAGAATATCATTAAAATTTTTTTTAAATAATAATTGAATTCTTTTTGAAAATTTTATTAAAATAATAGAACTGCCAAGAATTTTATTAAAATTTTTTTAAATAATTGAATTTCAGAGAAGAACAATTCGTAACTTTTCCAAAATTGAAATTTTTTTTTGTGTTTTTAACTAAAATTCTTCTACAAATGCATTATTTTAAATAATTTTTGGAAAGTTTTTTTTTACGAATTTCCAATTTATTTGTTTAAAATTCAATTTTACCAAATTTCAATTATTCGTAAATTCTTCAATTAATTCTATTATAGAAAATAGAGACTTGAAATAATTTTTTTTAAAAAATCCGCAATTCAACTTTCTCAAAAAAAAATAATTCCATAGAATTGTTAGTTGAATAAATGAAAAATTTAGATTTTCAAAGATTTAATTTGAAACCTTTTCAAAATTCAATTATTTCTTAAAATTCACGCTGTTATGCTTTTAATATTCATTTATAATGTAAAATTTTAACTAAAATTGATTTTTAAATCAATTTTTATTAGCAAATTCTACGAGAATTCAATTATTTAAAATTTAAATACCAAAATAAATAGTTTATTGAATAATTTAATTTTTCTTCAAATTCAATTCCCATAAAGAATTTTAATAACAAATTTTTAAATAATTCAATTCTTTCGAAGAATTTTAATAAAATTTTTAAGAATAATTGCATTTTTCGAAAAATTCGATTAAAATTTTATTAAAAATAATTAAAATTCTGCGATGAGTTTTATCTGTGAAAATAATTGAGTTTCTATAAACAATTTTATTATTTACGAAAATAATTGAATTATTGTGAAGAAATTTATAAAAAATTTGTAAATAATTGAATTCCTGTAAAATTTTTGTCGTTTAAGAAAATAATTAAATGTTTGCGTAGAATTGTATCAAAATTTTTTTTAAATAATTAAATTCTTATGGAAAATTTTAGTAAAATAATAGATATTAAAAATCATTGAATTAAGGAAAATTTTTGAATATATTTGAATGTCGGTGAAATTAAAATTCCTGAAAATAATTGAATTCTTAAAATTAATTTTATTATTTATGAAAATAATATTGAATCCCTGTAAAAAATGTGATTATTCATAAAAATAATTGAATTATTGCAATGAAATTTATGAATAATTTGCAAATAATTGAATTCCTGTGGAATTTTTATTATTTATTAAAATAATTAAAGGTTTGCGAAGGATTTTATTAAATTTTTTTTTAAATAATTGAATTCTTATGGAAAATTTTATTAAAATAGTCGATATTGAAAATCATTGAATTAAGGAAAATTTTTGAAATTTTGCCAAGAATTTTATTATAATTTTTGAAAATAGTTGAAATTTTGCAAAGAATTTTATTAAAATTTTACTGAAAATAATTGAATTTCGAAAAAGAATGTAATTATTTCTAAGGATAATTGAAATTTTTTGTTAAGCAATAAAGAAAAATGCTTTTTGTTAAATATTTATTAATCCTTTTTTTCCAATATTAATCCTTTAACAAAAAAGATAAAAAGGATTTAAAATTTAAAACTACAGTTCAAAAATAATTTTTCTCTAGGTAAAAAATTTTCTTCGCTTTTTAAAGCACTTGTTGCTTTTCTCAAAGAAAATAAATGAGAGGAGATTTTCCTCTTTCAGAAGAAAATCACAAAGTTTGTGATAATAAATTATTCAAGAACATTTTATACCTCTTGTAATGTTTTCTTTACTTGAAAATTTCGAAATTATCCTTGACATGAAAATCGAGTGCATTTTATTAGTGACTTTGATTGATTTTTCTCTATATATATTGTATTTCTGTACAGTGCACTCGTTGGAATTTAGATTTTAGATGCATAGCGATGGTTGGGAAATTCAGGTTGACAAATTTCTGAAGGATCCACTCGTGGGTCCAGTGAATCGTGAATAAGGGATGAGTACAAACCAGAATTTTATTTCTAGGGCAACATTATTTGAATTTTTTTCCTACACAGGAAGATAAATGGATTTTCCCTCTCCTCACTCACATTATAAATATTATCCTTACATCCTTTGGTATTGACGGTAATCAACAATTTTTCTTCCAAGGAATTTCAAAGCAAATTTTCGAAGACTGTATCGAGAAAAAAAAATTTGTAAATTAAAAGGGAAAATAAATCAAAATAAATAAATAGTAAATAGAAATATGATACAAAATAAATATAAATTATACAAATAAATGGAAATTATACATATAAATAAAATAAAATATAAACTTTATACAAATTGTACAACAAAATTATTTTATGAATGTTTTCAAAGCATTTTTTTTTCCTTCTTTTCTCCATTGTTAGTAGAACTATTCAAAATAATTTAATAAAAAATTTCTGCCAGCCAGTTGCGTGTAGTAAAAAGTTAAAAATTAAAAGTTGAGAGAATATAATATTAAGTGGATTTTGGATCCTGAGTTTTTCAGAATTGTACTCTGGAGAGCAGTCTATATTAGCCTATCACAAATACAACCGACATTTACGATTCCCACTGCAACAGGCAAAGTTGTATTCAGATTTAAACTTTTTTTTCTCCTCCAAAGCGGTAAAATGGAAAAAATAAAGAAACTAGATTTACAAAGAAGAACAGAAAAAAAAGTTTGTAAAGGATAATTAAAAGTTTTGAAAATTTTTTTCCGAACTTTTAATACAGTACAACTTTTATACCTATATATTTTTTCTAAATAATATAATACAGTGAAGAAATTTTATTTTACTCAAATTTTATTCAAAACTGTAAATCCAAATAATTTTTTTATAAATTATTTTGTCTATTATCTAAATATTTACTCGAGTCGAGTAATTTTTATTTAAACTATTTGACAATTGCCAAAATAAATTAATCAAATAATTTTTATTTAAATCAAATAAAGTGTATTTAAAACCAATAATTTCGGAATTTGGAGCAAATACAATTTAATTGACTTAATTTAAAATTATTTGACACATTTATTAGACACTAATATTTTTCTATTAAATTTTTATTTTATACAAATATTTGTCTATTAAATTTTTATTTTATACTAATATTTGTCTATTAAATTTTTATTTTATACTAATATTTGTCTATTAAATTTTTATTTTATACAAATATTTATCTATTGAATATTTATTAGATACAACTATTTGGCTAATAAATTTTTATTTGACATTAAATAAAGTTAAATAAAATATTGTTTATCAAATATTTACTTGCTACAAATATTTTTCTATTATCAAATAAATATTCAATTCGAATTAAATAAATATTTATTTAACAATATAGACAAATAGTCGTTTATATTTGAATCAAATAATTTTTTTCCAGTGTAAATAAAGAAATGAACAAAAAATAAATAATCTTTATTTATATAAATAAAAATCAAACTAATAAAATATACTCAATTTTCATGTCAATGATGATTTATAAATTTTAAATTAAAAAAAAAACCTCAAAAAAGGTACAAAATGTTTTTGAATAATTAATTTCAAAAATTTGCCAATAAATTAAATATTTATAATTTGTCTACAAGTTCCGAATGTTCCGAATGCATGAAATTTTTCGCCAATATGAATATTTTCAAAAATTACTAACACATTTTTTGCAAAAACAAAATAAAAAATTTAGATTTTTTATTTTTTCAATTCGTAAAGCAAATATTATTGCAAATAAAATTTTAACTTGGAAAAAAAAATTTTTCGTTTATTTTTGAACGTTTAAAAAATTAGGGACATTATTTAAATATTAATATTTTTATATTATTTTAAATAGAAAACTATAATTAAATAATTATTCGCCATTTACAGAAAATAATAAATTTATAAAAAAAGATTGATTTTAATTCTTTATTTTATTTTTTTTTTTGCCTAGAAAGAAAAAATATTTGATTGTTTATATCGCAGAATTATTTTTGTCCTAAAATACTGAAATATTATTACTGTAAAATTTGGAAATTTATTTAATTTTATTACAATTTTTTTATAAATTTATAATTCTTTTCAATTATTTGCGATTTACAAAAATTACAAATTAAAAAAAATTGAATTAAATTGAATTAAAATAAATTGAATTAAATTAAATTAAATTAACTTAAATTAAATTAAATTAAATTAAATTAAATTAAATTAAATTAAATTAAATTAAATTAAATTAAATTAAATTAAATTAAATTAAATTAAATTAAATTAAATTAAATTAAATTAAATTAAATTAAATTAAATTAAATTAAATTAAATTAAATTAAATTAAATTAAATTAAATTAAATTAAATTAAATTAAATTAAATTAAATTAAATTAAATTAAATTAAATTAAATTAAATTAAATTAAATTAAATTAAATTAAATTAAATTAAATTAAATTAAATTAAATTGAATTAAATTGAATTAAATAGATTATTAAATTTACAGTAATAATATTTCAGTATTTTAGGACAAAAATATTTCTGCGATACCTAGAAATAATTGAATATTTTTTCTATCTTGGCAAAAATGAAAAATAAAAAGAAGGAGAAATAAAGTATTAAAATTTTACTATTAAAAATAATATTAAAGAAAATTTAATTTTTGTAATAAAATAGAATTTTTAATTTCTCAGATAAATTTTGTTCAATATTTACCAAGATCCCATTCTTTGTCATTTCGTAATCTCTCCTTTTCTGCGATGACATACCAAATGCAAGCGAGCCAATGAGCAACGAGAGTGAAGAAAATCATAAGTAATGCTAATATCATGGCACTATATTGAGAATACCTATCCATTTTTTGCAGAAGTCGTGCCAGCCTCAATAATCTGGTCAATTTCACCAGGTGAATATGACTTTGACCCGATTCCTGCGAAAAAAATAAAAATTTATTATTAAAAATGTCAAAAAAATAATTGCGGAAACAAAATTAACCAAAATTATTAAAAATTATTAAAGTTATCAAAATCATAATAAATTTATTACAATTATTAAAATTACTAAATTGAAAATTACCAAAATTACAACAATTTTTATAATTGAAACCAAACTAGAGAAAATTTTGTTAGTTTTCAGTTCAAAAATTTTTTTCTTTTTACTTTAAAAATTTGTTGAAAATAAGGTTTTCAATTCTGTACTGAAAAAAATGTATCTGATTCAAATAACTTTTTCATTTAAATCAAATTAATTTATTTACTTATTTTTTTTTATTTCTATTTATTAATTTATTTATTATCAATGTGCTTTATGAAATAAAAAGCAAATCAATATTTACTTGTATCAAACAATTTTCTTCTGGATATTAAAATAAAATAAATAAAATTTAAATAAATAAAAAAAATAAATAAAAACAATAAAATAGATTCAAATTATTAATATTCGAACCGGTATTATCAATATTTGAAGCAAATACTAACAAAAAATAAAAAAATAAAATAAAAATTATTTCATAAAATTAAATATTTATTTGATAATGAACAAATAATGGTTTGTTTCAGTTAAATAATCTTTTTTTCAGGCAGCTTTTTTAAATGTTAATATATTAAAATATTTAATTTTACTTAATATTAATATTACTTATTTTAATAAAAGGAAAATAATTATTTTAATATCACTAACATAAAAATAAACATGTTCATGAATATTGCATGACGATAAGAATTGTTGATAATTTTTTGTTAATTGTAAACCTGACGACTATATAAATGACTGAAACTTATACAGCTCAGTCTTAATTAGTAATTGAAAATTCGTAATTGCAGAATTGTTGAAGAAATTTTTCAACTATGGCTCAATTTAAAATTTTATTTTGTCTCACTGTGATATTTGTATTATTTGCAATAGCAGTTGGTCAAGCTAATTATTGCAGTATTTGTCGAGATCACACTATGTGCAAACCTCACGTGAGTTGATATACAAAAAAAAACAAAGAAAAATTAAATTAAACGTTTATTTAACAGACATAAATATTTGTAGTAAAATTATTGTAATAAAACATAATTTCATTCTCTGCTATTTAACATTATATTGAGAAGAAAACCCAAATAAGCAGAAAACATAAATATTTGACTCAAGATTTAACTAAATTATTTATTTGGTTCAGAATATATTTTTTTTGGTTCAAAAATATTTATTTTGGTTCAAAATAATTGTGTTTAGTTAAAAAAATGTTATTTGGTTCAGAGTAACTTTATTTGGTTAAAATAATTATTATTTGGTTCAAAAATATTTATTTTGGTTCAAAATAATTGTGTTTGGTTCAAATAATTGTCATTTAGTCCAAAATAATTGTCAATTGAATCAAAGAAATGTTTTTTGGTTTAAAATAATTTTTATTTGGTTGAAAGAATTCATATTTGACTCAAAATAATTGTATTTGGTTTAAAATAATTGTATTTAGTTCAAAATAATTATTATTTCGTTCAAAAAAATGCTATTTGGTTCAAAATAATTTTATTTCGTTCAGACGAATTTTATTTGGTTCAAATAATTGTTATTTGGTTCAAAATAGTTTTTTTGGTTCAAAATAATTGTGTTTGATTCAAATAATTGTTATTTGGTTCAACATAATTGTCAATTGAATCAAAAAAATGTTATTTGATTTAAAATAATTGTATTTGGTTTAAAGTAATTGTTATTTAGTTCAAAGAATTGTTATTTGAACCAAAATAATTGTATTTTGTTTAAAATAATTGTATTTAGTTTAAAATAATTGTTATTTCGTTGAAAATAAATTTATTTTTGGTTAAAAAAATGTTATTTGGTTCAAAATTTTTTTTTTTTTTGTTTAAAATAATTGTATGTGGTTTAAAATATTTTTTATTTGGTTCAAATAATTGATATTTGACTCAAAATAATTGTATTTGGTTAAAATAATTGTATTTAGTTCAAAATAATTATTATTTCATTCAAAAAAATGTTATTTGGTTCAAAATAATTTTATTTTGTTCAGAAGAACTTTACTTGGTTCAAATAATTGTTATTTGGTTCAAAATAGTTTTTTTGGTTCAAAATAATTGTGTTTGATTCAAATAATTGTTATTTGGTTCAACATAATTGTCAATTGAATCAAAGAAATGTTATTTGATTTAAAATAATTGTATTTGGTTTAAAGTAATTGTTATTTAGTTCAAAGAATTGTTATTTGAACCAAAATAATTGTATTTAGTTTAAAATAATTGTTATTTCGTTAAAAATAAATTTATTTTTGGTTAAAAAAATGTTATTTGGTTCAAAATAATTTTTTTTTTGTTTAAAATAATTGAATGTGGTTTAAAGTATTTTTTATTTGGTTCAAAGAATTGATATTTGACTCAAAATAATTGTATTTGGTTTAAAATAATTGTATTTAGTTCAAAATAATTATTATTTCGTTCAAAAAAATTCTATTTGGTTCAAAATAATTTTATTTCGTTCAGACGAATTTTATTTGGTTCAAATAATGGTTATTTGGTTCAAAATAGTTTTTTTGGTTCAAAATAATTGTGTTTGATTCAAATAATTGTTATTTGGTTCAACATAATTGTCAATTGAATCAAAAAAATGTTATTTGATTTAAAATAATTGTATTTGGTTTAAAGTAATTGTTATTTAGTTCAAAGAATTGTTATTTGAACCAAAATAATTGTATTTTGTTTAAAATAATTGTATTTAGTTTAAAATAATTGTTATTTCGTTGAAAATAAATTTATTTTTGGTTAAAAAAATGTTATTTGGTTCAAAATAATTTTTTTTTTTGTTTAAAATAATTGTATGTGGTTTAAAATATTTTTTATTTGGTTCAAATAATTGATATTTGACTCAAAATAATTGTATTTGGTTTAAAATAATTGTATTTAGTTCAAAATAATTATTATTTCATTCAAAAAAATGTTATTTGGTTCAAAATAATTTTATTTCGTTCAGAAGAACTTTACTTGGTTCAAATAATTGTTATTTGGTTCAAAATAGTTTTTTTGGTTCAAAATAATTGTGTTTGATTCAAATAATTGTTATTTGGTTCAACATAATTGTCAATTGAATCAAAGAAATGTTATTTGATTTAAAATAATTGTATTTGGTTTAAAGTAATTGTTATTTAGTTCAAAGAATTGTTATTTGAACCAAAATAATTGTATTTAGTTTAAAATAATTGTTATTTCGTTGAAAATAATTTTATTTGGTTTAAAAAATGTTATTTGGTTCAGAATAATTTTATTTGATTCAAAATAATTTTTTTTGGTTCAAAAATATTTATTTGATTCAAAATAATTGTATTTGAAATATGTTTTGATAATTGTGTTTGGTTAAAAAAATGTTATTTGGCTCAGAATAATTTTATTTGGTTCAAATAATTGTTATTTGATTTAAAATATTTATATTTGGGTTATTATAATTTAATTTGATTCAAAAAAATTGTATTTGGTTCAAAATAATTATATTTGGTTTATAATAATTTTATTTTGTTCGAAATAAATTTTTCATTATTGCAAAAAGTTTTATTTGATTAGTATTGACTCTGTAAGAAATATCCTTTTATTTAACTTAAATAAATTATTAAATTTTGTTTGAATACAAATTTCTCTTGGTGCATTTTTTCAAAGATCGAAACTTTAACAAAAAAAATAAATTTATTTTAATACCATAGAAAATGAAAATTAAAAATTTTGATTGTAGTTTATTGTTTTATTTTTATTATTAAATTTTATTTTTTGTTTACAATTATATTAAAAGCAATTAAAATTCTTTAAGTATACAAAACCAAATTGTCGAACTCAGCAATATGGCTTAACGGCTGAACAAAGGAATAAAATTGTTTCGGAACATAATAGATATCGGCAATTGGTGGCTAGTGGCAATGAAAAAAGAGGAAGTCCCCGTGGTCCGCAACCAAAAGCAAAATCCATGCCAAATATGGTAAGAAAATTATATTTTTTAATTTTCCATTTTTTCTTAATTTTAATTTTAATTATTTTCAATTTCTTCTATATATAATTTTAATAAGATTCAAATTTCAATGAATTTATTTGTGAATTTATGATTGTAAATTAGAAGTTTACCTCAATTGTTATTATTAAATAGATATTGTATAATAGACCATAATTTATAAATAGATCTTTTTTTAACAATATAACAATGGTTACTAATTACTACTAATAATTACTAGGACACATGATCCTTAATTCATGTATACATCAACTAAACTTTCTTGTTTGAATTTTGAAATTCAAGTGTAATTATTAAATCCACAGGGAATAAGTTGATGCTTTACAATTTGAAACATGAAGACATGAAGAATATATAAATATATAATTTATAAATATATAAAATTATATAAATATATAAAATAATTTTAAATATACAAAATAAATGAAAAAAATTTTCTTAACTTTTCTTTTATTAAATAAATATTTACTTGCATCAAATAATTTCTATTTTTATTTTTAGCAAATAATTTTTATTTGTTTCCAGTAATTTTTATTGATATCAAATAATTTATTTCAAGTGATTTTTATTTATTTTAACATTTTTAGTGATTTTTATTTTATCAAATAATTTTTATTTACAATTTTAAGAAATTTCTATTTGTATCAAATAATTTTTCCTAAGTTACTTAAATGGTGTTTGCTTCAAATTCTGAAACATTTTGGTTCAAAATAAAATATAATTGTTTTAAACAAAAAAATTATTTGATTCAAGTAAATATTTACTTGTGATAATAGAAAAGTATTTGGTTATTTAAATCAAATATATTTTTTCTCAGTGAAAAAAAATATTAAAATTAATTGTGTTTAAATAAAATATTGAAATGTTAATAAAATTTTTATTTTTGTGCAAAAAGGTATGGGACAATGAAATAGCAAATATAGCACAAACACAGGCTAATTCATGCATTTACGCTCACGACTCGTGCAGAAATGTCCGTTAGTATAAACCAACATTTTTTATGTTAATTTTTTATATTAATTTATTTTATTTATTCAAACTATTAATTTCAGAAAATGAAAAAAAAATGAAAAAAGTGTTGTTATTTCAATTTTAAATTTTTACTATAAATTAACAACAGATTTGGTTTTTTTTACAAATTAATTAAATTAACAACAAATTTTGTTTTCTATAAATTAATTTAATAATTAATTATTCAATTAATAATGGATTTAGCGCTAAAAAATTATTTTCTACACTAGAACGATTCCAAGTCGGTCAGAATATTGCCCAATGGCCAGTGGCTAAAGGCAGACCACCACAAAAAGTCGAAGCTTTAGTAAAATTATGGTACGATGAAGTTGAAAAATTTAATCCCGCAATGGTAGAAAACTTTGTGTAAGTATAATTTCACAATTAATATATAAAGAAAAAAGAAAAAAAGATGTCAAATTTCAATATTTTTCGCAATTGAACAAATTTTGAATTTGATAAGCAATTGTTTATTTCCTTTTCTTATGTCCCAGCATTGTGATAAACAAATGCACTTAAAAACAACCACGTTTTATGAATTCACTCGAGAAAAATAAAAATAAATTTCTGGGAAATAAGAACAAATATTTCAAAATTATTATAAATTTAAAAAATAATTTTAAAAATAAAATTAAAAATAAATTTAAAAACAAATTTTAAAATAAAATTCAAAATAAGTTTAAAAAAAAAATTAAAAACAAATTGAAAAACAAAATTAATTAATTAAAATAATTTTATTTGGTTAAAAAAAATGTTATTTCGTTCAGAATAATTTTATTTGGTTCAAAATAATTGTGTTTGGTTCAAATAATTGTTATTTGGTGCAAAATAATTCTTAATTGGTTCAAAGAAATGTTAATTGGTTTAAAATAAATGTATTTTGTTTAAAATAATTGTTATTTGGTTAAAAAAATTGTAAATTAAATCAAAACAATTTTATTTCATTAAAAAAAATTGTATTTGGTTCAAATAATTGTTATTTGATTCAAAATAATTTTATTTGGTTAAAAAAATGTTATTTGGTTCAGAATAATTTTATTTGGTTCAAATAATTGTTATTTGGTTCAAAATAATTGTACTTAGATCAAAATAATTGTTATTTGGTTCAAAATAATTGTACTTAGTTCAAAATAATTGTTATTTGGTTCAAAATAATTTTACTTGGTTAAAAAATGTTATTTGGTTCAGAATAATTTTATTTGGTTTAAATAATTGTTATTTGGTTCAAAATAATTGTACTTAGTTCAAAATAATTGTTACTTGGTTCAAAATAATTTTATTTTGTTAAAAAAATGTTATTTGGTTCAGAATAATTTTATTTGGTTAAAAAAAATGTTATTTAGGTAGTAAAGAATAATTTTATTTAGTTTAAAATAATTGTTATTTGGTCTAAAATAGTTGTCAATTGGTTCTAAGAAATGTTATTTGGTTTAAAATAATTGTTTTTTGGTTCAAAATATTTTTTTTTTGGTTCTTAATAATTGTGTTTGTTTCAAATAATTGTTATTTGGTCTAAAATACTTGTTAATTGGTTCAAAGAAATGTTATTTGATTTAAAATAATTGTTATTTGGTGTAAAGAATTATTATTAAAATCCAAATAATTTTATTTCGTTCAAAAAAAATTGTATTTTAATTAATTTAAAAACACATTTAAAAATAAAATTAAAAGCAAATTTAAAAATAAAATTAAGAACAAATTTAAAAATAAAATTAAAAATAAGTTTGATAATAAATTTAAAAACAAAATGGAAAAAAAATTAAAAAATTGTAAAGCAACTTTTTTAGTTAAAAAAAATAAATTTTTATGGTTTAAAGTATTGCTTAAATTAAATATTACTTAAATATAGTTACTAATTATATAACTATTTAAATATGTCTAATTAATAATTCAACTACAATGTCCATTAACAGTATTCTTTTACAGATTTGAGGCAAAAACCGGCCACTACACGCAAATGTTGTGGGCACAGACAACCAGAATCGGTTGTGGTTACGTGAATTATGAAAAAAATGGTCAATACAATGTGTATCTCGTTTGCAATTATGGTCCCTCTGGTAATGTTCGCGGTGGAAAGGTTTACGAAATACGACGTTAAAAATTATTTCAAATTAAATGCATTCCATGTATTTTTCCCATATAATTGAAAATGTAAAACATTTTTTCCAACACAAATATTCGAATTTGCTAAAAACTATTTCTTTTCACAAAAATATTCAGTTTGACGAAAAGTTATAAAACAAATAAATAAATAAATAAAACAATTATTCACAAGTACTATTTATTTCCTACAAAAAAAAAAATTTTTCTTATTCCAAAATAGAAATTAATTTAAGATTTTCGATTTACAATTTACAATAAAAATAACGAAAATAAAAATAAATTTATAATTAACAAAATAAATTATACCCAATTTAATAATTAAATGATCAAAAAAAAGAATTCCACCCAATATTTACTTTTCAAATTATTTAATCTACTAATTAAATAAATATTTCATTCGATCTTAAATTGAAAGTTGATTATTATTTTCTGCATGAATTTTTAATATTTTTTCTCAAATGAAAAAAAGTTATTTCAACAATATATTCTAAAATATATATTAATATATTCTAGGCGCTGTCAAGTGAAATATTTTAAAATACAAAAAATGATAATTCTTTCAAAATCGAATCATATAATTAAGACAATAATTATAAGCTTGTTTTTCATAATTTATAAATCGTAAAAAATTATTACGACTGAATGATGAATAACCATAATGTTAATTAATCAACCTAATTTTAATTTTAACATATATAAAACAAACAAAAATTATTTCCTAATAAATTACTTGTGTATTTCAGTTTTATTGTTTTAAAATTTTTGAAATTTATTTGTACAAAAAATTGTAGTTTTCAAGAAGAAAAAAATATATTTCACTTTCAGTTTTACATTAAAAATATGCATTAAGCACGATTTAGTGATGAAATTTAACATTTCAACGGTTTACATTATTATTATTTTTTTATTGACAACATTCTTTAACAATTTTATTATTAAAAATCGTTTTAAAAATTAAAAAAAGTAACAAAATATATTATCAGACGTTGTGGAGATATATAAATATTGAAAAAGTTTTCTTCCTCTTTCATTATTCACCAAATTAATAAGCATCCTCTAATTTCAAGTTTAAGTTTAAAAATGTTTTCAATAAAAATTGTTTGTTCCTTTTTATTAATTTTGACAATTAATAATGTGTTTGCTGAGAACTGCGCTTACAGAGTAGGTAGAATAATAATAATTATAATAATAATAATAATAATAATAATAATAATTAATCAATAATTAATATTTTTATTATAATAGATAATTAATAAATTATTTTTTATTGTAATAAATAATTAATAATTTATTTTTTTATTGTAATAATAAAAAATGTTGCGTTGTCGTTTTACATGTTGCATGATTTCGTGAAAGAAAGTTGGAACATTCTTTTCTCCTTGGGGAAATTAAAAATTTCAATCTATTTAAATCGATTTACTTTCCATTGTTATTTATTTAATAAAAATAATTTTATGGAATCGAAATATTATTTGATTTGTAAATAGCGTTTACCAGCGCCAACTTGTCATCCAATAAAACGGGGTTTAAGTCCCACAGAGGAGAGAGAAATTCTTCAAAAGCACAATAAATTAAGAAGATTTTTAGCTTCGGGTGCAGAAAGACGTGGTGCGAATAATAGGGGTCAACCAGCAGCTGCATATATGCCAAATTTGGTATAATATTTAAATTTTTATAATTATAATTCTACTATACAAAATAATAATATTATTACTATAAACTTTTTTTTAAAGAGTTAAAAAATTTGTATAATTTATATTTTTTTATTCATGATTTTTAATAAAATTCTATTTTGCACTTCGAATAATATATTTAAAGAATACTGAATATTTTTTCATTATTAGTTTTCAGAAAATACTTGAAAAGAAATTAAATTTTGTTTTATTTTATAAGAAAATGAGAATTATTAATAGATATTATTGTTAAATACAGAAAACAAAAATTTATTTGATTCAAATAATCAATTACTTGTTTATTATCAAAAGGTTTTGAGCCAAATAACAATTCTTTGTTGCAAATAACAATTATTTTTAATGAAATAACAATTATTTTGAAACAAGTAAAATTTTTTTTGAACCAAATAAAACTGTTCTGAACCAAAAAAAATTTATTTGAACCAAGTAAAATTTATTTGAAACAAATTAAACTTTCTTAAACAAATCCAATTTATTTGAACCAAAATAAAATTTACTTGAACCAAAATAGATTTTTTTAACCAAAATAAAATTTATTTGAACCAAAATAGATTTATTTTTAACCAAAATAAAATTTATTTGAACCAAAATAGATTTTTTTAACCAAAATAAAATTTATTTGAACCAAAATAGATTTTTTTTCACCAAAATGAAATTTATTTGATCCAAGTAAAATTTATTTGAACCAAATAAAATTATTTTGAATGAAATAACAATTATTTTGAACAAAAATAACTGTTTTGAACCAAATAATTATTTAAATCAAATAAAATTATTCTCAACTAAATAACATTTTTTTAACCGAATAAAATTATTTTGAACCAAATAACAATTCTTTGTTCCAAATAACATTTCTTTGTACTAAATAACAATTATTTTGGATCTGTTTTGGACCAAATAACAATTTTTTTTTAACCAAACACAATTATTTTGAACCAAAGAACTATTTTAAACCAAATAAAATTATTTTGCACAAAAAAAAACCGATTTGAGCCAAATAAGAATTATTTGAACCAAATAAAATTATTCTGAACCACATAACATTTTTTAATCAAATAAAATTATTTTGAACCAAATAACAATTCTTTGTTCTAAATAACAATTATTTTGAACGAAATAACAATTATTTTGAACCAAGTAAAATTTTTTTGAACCAAACAAAACCATCCTGAACCAAATAAAATCTTTTTTAACCAAATAAAATTATTTTTATTTAATTTAATATAATTTAATATAATTAATTTAATAAATTTTTTTTCTGGATGTACAACAATGGGTATAAAATATAATTTTTCGTTCAAAGGTATGGGATGTAAAATTGAAAAACATGGCTCAAAAATGGGCTGATACTTGTAGTTATGCGCATGACATGTGTTTATTTCAAAGTAAGTAGACACAAGCTGATTATTTTCCACTCTGTCTACAATAATTTATTAATATCGTTAAATAATTATAGTATAATATTATATTTTCTTTTAAGATAATATGGGTCAAAATATGGGTTTCATTTCAAATAATGATGACAGCGTATTAATTTATACGAATATTGTTCAAGCATGGTATGATGAAGTAAAAGATTTTGATGGATCACAAGTAGAAGAAGTGAGGTAAGTACATGGATCAATAAAAATAAAAAAAAAAACTAATAACTAAAGTTCACAACTAAAATTAAAAATGTAAAAAGTAACAGAGTAATAAATAATAAATAATAAATAATAAATAATAAATAATAAATAATATAAATAATAATAAAGTAATAAATTAATAAAAAAATTATTTTTTGTACGCCTATAGTAAAACTTTTCTTTAATCAGAAAAAAAAGTAAAAAAGTATCAGAAAAAATGTATCTGATTCAGAACCTACTAAATTTTTTATTTGTTTTAAATAAATTTTAAATCAAAATTTTATTCGACACAGTCAAAAATTTTGTTTCAATCAAATAAAATGTATTCGAAACAATTAAAAAATTCAGTAAGTTAAAAAAATAATTAAATTAATAAAAAATTTTATTCGACACAGTCAAAAATTTTGTTTCAATCAAATAAAATGTATTCGAAACAAATAAAAAATTCAGTAAGTCAAAAAAATTAATGAACTTAGGTAATAATTTTATTCAACACAATAAAAATTTTTGTTTCAATCAAATAAAATTTATTCGACACAATAAAAATTTTTGTTTCAATCAAATAAAATTTATTTGAAACAAATAAAATATTTAGTAAGTCAAAAAATTCAGTTGTGAAATATATTTGGTTTCTGGGTGTAAATTCGCAATTTAAATATCTTTTATTAACTTTATTTACTTTTTAATATTTTATTTTTTTTTGCAGAAAATTTGGTTGGTCGGCTCACTATACACAAATGGCATCAGCAAATACCACAAAAGTTGGATGTGGTGCAATAGTCTATAAAGATGGTGGTTTGAAACGAATTCAACTTATCTGCAATTACAGTCCTTTTGTCAACATGGTTGGCGATGCACTTTATAAAAGGAGAAATTAAGAAAAATATACACATTTCTCTTTAATAAATAATAGTTAAATTTCAAATGAATTTTTTTCATTTTGAACAGATAAATATTTATTTAAAATTGACGAAAATATATTTCCAAACTCTTCGTATATATTGGTTTTGACTAAATAAATATTTCATTCAGTTTAAAATTAAAATTTGTCGAATTCATTTTTCCTACTCTTCCAAATCGTTTGTTTTTTAATATTTTTCCTTATTGAGGAAAAATAATTTCAAAATTTTTCTGTGTCAGTGGCAAATGTAAAAATATTATGAAATACAGAAAAATCATGATTTTCTAAAAATTAAACTTATGATTTATGAATCGTAGATTTATTTTCACTATATTTTAGTATTATTTTAGTATTTTTCATATTTTTTTAAAAATTTTTTATTATATTTTCTATTTATATTATTTATTTTATTTTTTTATATTTTTTATATTATTCTCTATTTTTATTATTATTTTTATTATTTCAGGGTTGCCACAAATATTTAATTAGTATTTTTCTGTAGGAATTAAAATTCTTCAAAATATTCAAATTCAAACCTTATTTTGAAATTCTACAACTTATAAGAATATTATTACAAAACATGAAGAAGGCGATCACTCCGAGTCTTCGACTCGGAATGATCGTCTTCTTCATGTTTTGTAATAATTTAAATTACCATAAAATTTTTCAAAAAAAAATAATTATTTACAAAAATCCTAACAAAATCCTTCGCAAGAATTCAATTATTTTTACAAGTAGTAAAATTTCTCAAAAAAATTCAATTATTTAAAAAAAATTTAATAAAATTCGTTACAATATTTCAATTATTTTCATAAATAATAAATTGATTATTCAGTAATTCATTTTTAAATCAATTTTTATTAGAAAATTCTGGAAAAATTCAATTATTTAAATTAAAAAATAAATAATTTATTGAATGATTAAATGTTTATTAAAATTGAATTCTCATAAAGAATTTTATCAATAAATTTTTAAATATTTGAATTTTTTTGACAAATTTTAATAAAATTTTTAAGAATAATTACATTTTTCGAGGAATTCTATTCAAATATTGTATAAAAAATAATTAAAATCCTGGGATAAGTTTTATTATTTATGAAAATAATTAAAATTTTCCCAAGAATTTTATTAAAATTTTTCTAAAATAATTGAATTTCGAAGAAGAATTTTATTATTTATGAATATACTTGAAATTTTGACAAGAATTTTTAAAAAATTTTTGAACATAATTGAATTTCTGCGAAGAATTTTATTACTTTTAAAAATAATTTAATTCTCACAACGAATTTCATTCAAGTTTATAAAAATAACTGAATTTCGGTAAAGAATTTTATTATTTATATCAATAAATGAATTCATGCAACGAATTTTATTTAAGTTTATAAAAATAATTGAATTTCGTTAAAGAATTTTTTTTTAAATAATTGAATTCTTGCGACGAATTTTATAAATATCTTTTTAAATAATTGATATTTTTCGAAAAATTTTATGAAATATTGTATTTTAAATAACTGAATTTCTGTGAAAATTAAAAACTTATGAAAATAATTGAATTATTTTAAAGAAATTTTTTAAAAATTGAATTCCTGTGAAATTTTGCCAAGAATTTTATTAAAATTTTTAAAAATAATTGAATTTTGATGAAGAATTTTATTATTTATAAAGATACTTGAAATTTTAATAAGAATTTTTTTTTTAATTTTTGAACATAATTGAATTTTTGCGAAGAATTTTATTATTTTTGAAAATAATTTAATTCTTCCAACGAATTTTATTCAAGTTTATAAAAATAACTGAATTTATGTAAAGAATTTTATTATTTATATAAATAATTGAATTTTTGCAACGAATTTTATTCAAGTTTATAAAAATAATTGAATTTCGGTGAAGAATTTTATTGTTTATAAAAATAATTAAATTCTTGAAAAGAAATTTGTTAAATTTTTTTAAATAATTGAATTCTTGCAACGAATTTTATAAAAATCTTTTTAAATAATTGATATTTTTCGAAAAATTTTATGAAATATTGTATTTTAAATAATTGAATTTCTGTGAAAATTAAAAACTTATGAAAATAATTGAATTATTTTAAAGAAATTTTTTAAAAATTGAATTCCTGTGAAATTTTGCCAAGAATTTTATTAAAATTTTTTAAAATAATTAAATTTCGATAAAGAATTTTATTATTTATAAAGATAATTGAAATTTTGGCGATAATTTTTTTAAATTTTTTATCATAATTGAAATTCTACGAAGAATTTTTATAACTTTTTGAAAATAATTGAATTTCTGGAATCATTTGTAACTTTTCCAAAATTCAATTTTTTTTTTAGTATTTTTAAATAAAATTCTTCTATTAATCTAGTATTTATGAAGATTGTATAAAAGTTATTCGTTAAATAATTCATAAGTCATAATTTTATGATAGTTCTTGGAAAATTAAGTTATTTAAAAAGAAATTATTGTCAGAAATAGAAAAAATTGAAGGTTTTGTATTAAAATTCGTGGTAATTTAATAGTTTATGAGTCAAACAAAAATAACATCAAAATTCAGAGTTTTCTCATAAATTTTGAAAATTCAATTTTTTCCAGTACTTTTACTAAAAATCCCTGACTTTTCTCTGATTTCCTTGACCAATTTTACTTTCCCTGACTTTTCCCTGATTTTTCCCTGACTTCCCTGACCTGTGGCAAGTAGATAAAGTATAATAAATAATTTATTATATTTTATCTACTTGTTTTATAATTTATTATTTTTATTATTCATTTTATTATTTTTTGTTTTCATTATTTCTATTATTATTATTTATATTTATTTTCCTTTTTTATTATTTTATATTTTTATTATTCTTTTCATTATTTATTTTATTTTTTCTAATTGTTTTCTTATTTTCTATTTTATTTAAATTTAAAAAAATGAAGGCAAAATATTCGACGAGAAAAATATAGCAATGTCAGAACTGTAAATCTGCAATATACAGAAGTTCTTCGGCACTAAAATATAAAGTTGGTGTAGTCTTGATAACACCCGTAACTTCTCCGAAAACCTGGTGTGTCTGGAGTTGATCTAGTTTCCCTTTCAACCATAATAAGTTGAGTTCTAATCCAGCAAATAACTTTTGCATGCGGAAATCTCTGTTTTAGAATCATTTCGCAAAGCCATTTAACAATTACTTTTGTTTTAGTCTCGCTGGTATGGCGCAAATCTTATTGCTATAGTACAAAAGAAAAAAAAATCTTTTCCCTATGGAAAAGTTTTCAAAACTATTAACGATTCTCGAAAATTCTTTTTTTCCTCATTTTAAAATAAAAAATTCTTTTTTTAGAATATTTCTATTACAGATTTTAGTCATAAATACAAAAAATAGGCAAATAAAAGCTCATGAAGCAAAGAAATTAATTCGCAAAATTTATAAGGAAGTTTGGAAAAAATCAACAATTCAATAACATTTGAACAATAACAATAACAATAACAATAACAATAATAAATAACAATAACAATAACAATAACATTTTTTAAAAAATATGACATTACATAAAATAAATTTAAATATTTTCCGTGTATATTTAAAAGATGAAAAAAGATTCTAATTCCTAGTTTAAAATAGAAAACTAAAGAACAACTTTTTTCTATTTGCAAAAAATTCTATGTTTATTGCTTCATCACGTAACGTTCATTATTTCATTCTACAGCTAAATTAGTTAATTTGCTTTATTGTTATACGACTCTAAATACACTTCTAAATACATTTCATATACATTACATTTACATTTCTAAACAAATCCTAAACAATTTTTCTGTTTAGTCAATTTTTCACTAGTTTCTTTTTAACTGCAGTCTTAGATAAATAAAAAAATAAATTTTGCAATCTTTGCGTTTAGGGAAAATTAACAGAAAAGTTTATTATTGTTTAATAAATAAATGCAGTTGCGGTGTGTATGCAACAATAAATTAATAAAGCTTCTCTTTAAAAATAAAAACAATACACGGAAAGAAAATTATATTAAATTTTGTAAAAGTGTTTCTCAATTTAGGGAAAAAGTGCATCAAACCGAAATTTTGGCATCAAAAATACTAAACAGTGAAAGGAATAATATGAAATTTAGTATAATAATATCAAATATCAAGAATTTTAATCTAACTTTACTAAATTTCAAATTATTTCTTTCACTTATTTAGTATTTTTGATACCAAAATTTCGGTTTGGTGCACTTTTTCCCTAAACTGTAAAAACTTTTACAAAATATATATGATATGTGTTAATATATGTAATAAATTTCCTCTCCGTGTACATTTCATTCTGTTAACAATATTTACAATATTTTAATCATAAAAACAATGAAAAATAAAGGAGTGGAAAAAAAGAGAGAGAAAATAAAATCGTTTAAGAAAAAAAAAATAGTTACTTTAGTTTTGTAAATATCTTTTTATGGAAATATTTAAATGTTATGAGAAAATCTGAAATACTTATAAATTTAATATTTAAATGTAAATCTTCCCCTCTGACAACATCTAACTTTTACATTTTAAGGAAAGTGAACTGAATGTTGATTTTATGATAATGAGCACCTGATAAAATTGTACGCAAATAAATTGCAATAATTAGATGGGACGTAAAAAAAAATTGGAGGTATAAAAGAACGTCAGAATGAATGCATAAGTAAGTTATATTGCGATTGAAACAGTAATTGAAGTTAAATCTGATTGCATGAAAAGCAAGATGACAATGTTACGTGGTTTTTGTTTTCTTTTTACAATTCTAACAATTGTTGTTCTAATAAATGGGCAAAATGACTATTGCAACATTTGTCGAGATCACACAATGTGCCGCTATACGGTAAGTAGACACATTTATTAATTTAATAAAGTGTTTATAATCAAAATAATAAACAGGGTTACCACAGGTCAGGGAAAATTGTCTTTTTTGTTTGCTTCATAAACTATGAAAATACCACGATTTCTAATACAAAACCTTCAATTTTTTCTAATTCTGACAATAATTTCTTTTTAAATAACTTAACTCTTGAAGAACAATCATAAAATTATTACCAATAAATTATTTAATGAATAATTTTACTTAAACATTTCAAAATTAATTGTATTTCAAAAAAGTTGCGTTTACAATCTTCATAAATAGATGAACTTCAAAATAAGGTTCAATTTTGAAATTTTAGAAAATTTTAATTTTTTTAATGAATTTAGTCAGAAATTTTAAAGAACTTAGAATTTTGACAAATTTTAATAATTCAAATTTTTCTAAATTTAGCTAAATTTTTTAATACATATTTAATTAATTATTAAAAATAATGGATTTACAGAAGAATTTTAGTTAAAAAAAAATTTAATTTTGAAGAAGTTACAAAACAAATGATTCCAGAAATTCAATTATTTTCAAAAGTAATAAAATTCTTCGCAGAAATTCAATTATGTTCAAAAATTTTTTAAATATTCTTGTTAACATTTTTATTATCTTTTTAAATAAAAAAATTCTTCTTCAAAATTCAATTATTTAAAAAAAAGGTTTATGAAATTTTTGGAAAGCATTCAATTATTTTCATAAATAATAAAATATTCACAGGAATTCAATTTTTTAAAACACAGTTTTTATAAAATTTTTCGAAAAAAATCCATTATTTAAAAAAAATCTTTATAAAATTCTTCACAAGAATTTAATGATTTAAAAACCATTTAATAAAGTTCTTTCACAAGAATTCAATTACATTTTTTTGTAAAGAATAAAATTCTTCTCGGGAATATTCAATTATTTTAAAAAATTTGAATAAAATTCTAAGCAAACATTTAATTATTTTCATAAATAGTAAAAATTTCACAGGAATTCAATTGTTTACAAATTTTTTATTTGCAATAATTCAATTATTTTCATGAATAGTACAATTTTTTACAGGGATTCAATTGTTTTCATAAATAATAAAATTATTTTTAGAAATTCAATTATTTTCATAGATAATAAAACTCATCGTAGAATTTCAATTATTTTGAATAAAATTTTAATCAAATTCCTCGAAAAATGGAAATATTTTTTAAAATTTTATTAAAATTCGTCAAAAGAATTCAATTTTTTAAAAATTTGTTGATAAAATTCTTTATGAGAATTTAATTTTAAGAAACATTAAATTATTCAACAAATTATTTATTGTTGTATTTAAATAATTGAATTTTCGCAGAATTTTTCTAATAAAAATTGATTTAAAAATGAATTTCATATTCATAATAGATTTGAGAATTCTCAAAGAACTTTTCCGAAAATTATTAAAAATAATTGATTTAAAGAAGAATTTTAGTTAAAAATTCTAGAAAATAATAATTGAATTGAAATGATGAAAATAATTTTTAACATAACAAAATATAAAATAATGCACTGAGAAAACAATATATTTGAATCAAACATAATTATCTTTGTTCTACAGTCAACCAAAAATTATCTTTGAATAAAAATACCGTTTAATTCAATTATAAAATATGTTTAATTCAAAACATATCTATTGGATGGCTCCTTATTTTTGAATTAAATAAAATTTTTTCTCAGTGTGATTTTATCATTACTTTAAAAATATTCTTATAAGTTGTTAAATTTAAAAAAAAGGTTTGAATTTGAATCTTTTGAAGAATTTCAATTTCTATGGAAAAATTATAATGAATAAATATTTATTTAAAATTGAAGTTATTGTTTTCGAATAATTTTACTATTAGAGAAATTTGTAAATAAATGTAATAGAAAATTTTTTTGAGTATCTAATTATTTTTAGAGTAAATCAGAATATTATTTAGGGTTAGGGAAAAAGTCAAAATTTTGTCTGGAAATCACGGAGGGACAAAATTAAATTTTTTTGGCAGCCCTGATAAATTTAATGTTAATTAATATAAAAAATAATTGAATTCTTTTAAAGTCATAATATAATTTATTTAATATTCTCATAGAACTTTTTTTTATTAAAATAAATTTGCTCTATAGAATCCACAACCAGTTTGTAGGGCAAGAGTATCATCTTTATCACCCGCACAACAAAATGAAATTGTGAATGTACATAATGAATTTAGACGACGAGTCGCTTCAGGAAGTGAATCACGAGGTAGACCTGGACCACAACCACGTGCCAGAAATATGCCAAATATGGTGAGAAAAAAAATAATCCCTTTTAATTATTTGCATCAAAATTTTATTCCATTCATTTTTATTCCTATTTTTTGGAAATTTATGTATTTTCTAATAATTTTGAATTAAATTTAGATTACAATTTCGATTTTTAGGGCAAAATTTAATAATATAAATTAATTCAATTTTCTCTTCAAGGCTTGGGATGGAGAATTAGCAACTATAGCACAAAGATGGGCTAATCAATGCAGATTTGGTCATGACACTTGTCGTAATGTTCGTAAGTATATTGAAAAATATTTTTTTTAAATAATAGAAAATAATAGAAAATAATATAAAATAATATAAAATAATATAAAATAATATAAAAAAATATAAAATAATATAAAAAAATATAAAATAATATAAAATAATATAAAAAAATATAAAATAATAATTAAAATAGAATAATGCAAAAAATGGTTCGTTTTAAAAAACAGTTATAGAATCAAATTGTAAAAAAAAAAATTTTTTCCTTTAAGGACGTTTTCAAGTTGGACAGAATGTAGCAACAGCATGGACAACAGGTTCAAATCCTTCATCATTGAGAAATTTAATAACAATGTGGTATGATGAAGTGGCTCAATTTGATCGTAACCAAGTTGAACGATTTGTGTAAGTAAAAAAAAAGAAAATTTCCAAAAATTTCTCACAAACAAAAAAAAAATTTGATTATTGAAACAACAAACTTTTGTGTTGAAACAATCACATAAATTTCTAATTACGCATTTCCTCTATTTCTAAAATTAATTATTGAAAAAAATATTTAATTATTGGAGAAAATAATTTATTTCTAAAAATACAAATTTAAATTTAAATTCTGAATTCAAATTTATCAAAAACTGAATTAATTGTTACTATATTAATTTTTTATTTGAGTAATTTAATCAAAAATGTTTTTCTTCGTTGATTTAGATTCAATATGAATACCGGACATTACACACAAATGTTGTGGGCTGCCAGTGTAAGAATTGGTTGTGGTTATGTTAATCACATGAATGGCAATCGAAACACTGTTCTATTAGTTTGTAACTATGGACCAGCGGGTAATGTCCGCGGAGGTAGAATGTACGATATTGCCCGCTAAACAGATTTCAGTGCTGCATTTCGAGAAATAATCCTTTTGAAAAAAAGGCAGAACACACTAACTTAGAAATTTATTATTTAAGAATATTCTTCTTTTTTTAATAACAAAAAATCTTTTGTAACCAAACAAAAAATAAACAAAATAATAAATTTAACATCTTCTTAATTTATTTACCAACGAAAAAAAATTAATGACAAAAAAATATTGCAGTAAATTCCTTCATATTAAATTTTACCTCAATTTTCTATAAATGACTATTTTTACTTGTCAAAAATAATAAGGAATTTAATTAACTATGTTTAATACTTAAATGAATGTCTCCCTTTCTGACAACGTTAAACTTTTACAATTAAGGAAAATGAACCGAATGTTGATTTTATGATAATGAGCACCTGAGAAAACTGTATGTAAATAAATTTTCAATAATTGGATAGGACGCAAAAAAAAATTGGGGGTATAAAAGATACTATAAAAGGTATAAAATAATGCAAAAGTAAGTTATTGCGGTTGAAACAGTAATTGAAGTTAAATCCTGATTGCATCAAAGCAAAATGACAATGTTACGTGGCTTTTGTCTTCTTTTTACAATTCTAACACTTGTTGTTCTAATCAAAGGGCAAAATGACTATTGCAACATTTGTCGGGTTCACACAATGTGCCGCTTTACGGTAAGTAGACAAACATTTAAAAAAGTATTTATAAATAATAAATTTAATATAAATTAAAATTAAAATGTTTCAGTAATAATAATTTAATAACGACAGTATATAAAATAAATTAAACATAATTATTAATTACATGTATATATATTTAATTCAATTTTAGAAACATATAACTAATTTTTTTTATATGGAATAATTTTTTAAGCTTAAACCATTTTTTTTATTTACTATAATTATTAAAACTAGCAAACAATTCGCGCGCTAAAGCGCGCGGCCAACTTCTTACTACCTTTTTTAAATATAATAAGTAATTTTAAAAATAATAGAATTTAAAAATTTTCTAATTTAAATTCATGTTGAAAACACTAAAAAAAATCAATTTTGAAATAATTACAAATAATAATTAAAAAAAAAAATAAAATTCTTCTTACAAAATTCAACTATGTTCAAAATTTAAAAAAATTCTCGTAAAAATTTCAATTGACTTTATAAATAATAAAATTCTTCTCCAAAGTTCAATTATTTTCATAAACGTCAAAAAAATTATTGTCCTAATTTTAATAATTTTCAAAAAATGTTCTAATTTGAATGATTTTCAATATCTACTATTTTAATAAAATTTCCCAAAAATAATTCAAATTTTAATTACTATTTTACTAAAATTTCACAAAACAATTCTATTATTAAAAAAAAAAAAAATGTTAAAAAATTCTTCTCAAACATTCAATTAATACAAAAAAATATTAAAATTTTTCCTAACAATTCAATTATTTCCAAAAATAATAAAATTCTTTACAAAAATTCAATTATTTTCATAAATAATAAAATTCTTCTGACGAATTCAAGTATTTCAAAAAATAATAAAATTCTTGTAAAGAATTCAATTATTTTTATAAATAAGTAAATTTTTTTTAGAGGATTTCAATTTTTTTTATAAATAATTAAATTTTTCAGAGGAATTCAATTATTTTTTAAAATTTTAACAAAATTCTTCATAAAAATTCAATTTATTTTCAGAAGTAAGAAAATTCTTGTGAGGAATTCAATTATTTCAAAGATCTTAATCAATTTTTTGGAAAGAATTCAATTAATTTCATAAAAATAATAAAATTCTTCTGAAAAATTAAATTATTTTCAAAAATAATAAAATTGTTTGCAAAATTTAAATGATTTAAAAGATTTTAATCAATTTTTTAGGCAAGAATTTAATTAGTTTTCTAAATAATAACATTTTTCTGAAGAATTTAATTTTTTTCTTCAATTAAAATCGATTCAAAAATTCAATTATTTCTATAAATAATAAAATACAATGTAGAATTTCAATTATTGTTTTATACAATTTTAAATGAATTCCGCAAAAAGTGCAGTTATTTAAAAAAAATTTTATTAAAATATATTTATAAAATAAAAAATCTGATTTAAAAACAAAATTCATTTTTTCGAAAAAATTTTTGAATAAAAATAATAGAATTTTCAAATAATTGCAGAAATTCAATTATTTGAAGAAAAAATTCTTGTCCTAATTTCAATAATTTTTAACAAATTTTCTAATTTTAATGATTTTCAATATCTACTATTTTAATAAAATTTACCAAAAAGAATTCAGTTATTTAAAAAAAAGTTTAATAAAGTTTTGTGCAAACATTTAATTATTTTCATAAATAATAAAATTTTTTTTTAAGGAATTCAATTATTATTTTCATAAAAAATAATTTGAAATTCTAGAAAATAATAATTGAATTAAAATGATGAAGATTATTTTGATAAAGTTACAGTAACAATATTTTTATAGTATAAAATAATGATTTTATCTCTCGATCATCTTTAATTATTATAAAACATGAAGATATCGATTGCTCCGAGTCGAAGACTCGGAGTGATCGATTTCTTCATGTTTTATAACAAATTCCTGTGGTAAATTCTGTTCCAAAAAAAAAAGATTAAAAATAATATTTGTGCAAATTTTTATCTTCTTTTTCTAAAACAAAATAATAATTTTGTTTAAAGAAATTGTGATTCATAAACAAAAATAATGCAAAATAAATAAGTTTTCTGTTTCTTAATCACAGTTGTTTAACAATTTTCTAATTTTCTTTAGAAGTAAAGAACAAAAATAATTTCAATTTGACAAAACATAATATTTAAGATAATTTTAGTCTTTTAATGAAAAGATGTGAAAAAAATTCTGATGATTTCTATTTGTCATTATAATTTTGAATTAATTATTATAAAATAGAAATAGTTATAACATAATAATATAATTTGTATACAATCTATCTAATGTTAATAAGAAAAAACAAAAGTATAAATAAAAGACAACTTCAGAGTGTGAGGGACAGAAAAAGTGAATGAATAAAAGAACATTTAAATTAATATAGTTAATTAATTAATTAATTAATTAATTAATTAATTTAAGATTTGACAAATATAAAAAGTTTTGAATTCTTTTAATTAAAAATATAATTTATTACCAATCATTTTATAGAAAATAATTATTATTTTATTGAAACATTATTTTATTGAAATAAATTTGCTTTATAGAATCCGCAATCAGTGTGTGGGGCAAGGGTATCATCTTTAACACGCGCACAACGAAACGAAATTGTTAATATACATAATGAATTTAGACGACGAGTCGCATCAGGAAATGAACCACGAGGAAGCCCTGGACCGCAACCACGTGCCAGAAATATGCCAAACATGGTGAGGAAAAAAATAATCCCTTTAATTATTTGTGTATCAAAATTCTATTCCATCAATTTTTATTCCTATTTTTGAAATTTTATGTATTTTCTAATAATTTCGATTTCGATTAATATTACGATTTTTAGGGCAAAATTTAATTATATAAATTTAATCAATTTCTTCTTCAAGGCTTGGGATGCAGAATTAGCAACTATAGCACAAAGATGGGCTAATCAATGCAGATTCGGTCATGACACTTGTCGTAATGTTCGTAAGTGTATTGAAAAATAATTTTAAAATGACAAAATAAAATAATAATAAAAAAATAATAAAATAATAGTGATAAAAAGTAATAAAAACTAGAATGATTAAAAACGACAAATTTTTTTTCTCCTTTAGGGACACGTAGTGTTCTAATGTTTAGAAATAATTAAAATTCAAAAGGTTTCTCATTGAAATTACTTGAAATTTTTATTCCTGTGGAAAAATAAAAAAGTTTTTAAATTTTTGTTTAACAAAAAGTATTCAAGTTTTGAATAATTCAATTTAGAACTTCCTAGGAACTTATTTTTTCTTAAATAAAAAAATAAGTAAAAATAAAAATTAAAAAAAAATTGTTTTTTTAAAAAAATGTAATTACAATTTTTTAAAAATAATTGCACTTCCGAAAATAATCGAAAATAATTTTAAAGAATTGAAACAATTGAAAATTTTTTTCAAATTTCATTGAAATAAATTTTATATTTGAATGAATTATTATTTGTTTTCTTTATTTGTTTTCTAAAAATTATTTTGAAATATAATAGTTATTTTTGAAGAATTCTAATTAAAAATTTGTAAAATAATTGAATTTCAAAAAAAATGTGGTTATTTAATTTAATATTTGTAATTATAATTAAAAACTTGGTTCGTTTTGAAAAATAGTTGTAGAATCAAATTGTAAAAAAAAAAAAAATTTTTTTTCTTTAAGGACGCTTTCAAGTTGGACAGAATATAGCGTCAGCATGGACAACAGGTTCAAATCTTTCATCATTGAGAACTTTAATAACATCGTGGTATGATGAGGTGGCTGAATTTAATCGTAACCAAGTTGAACCATTTGTGTAAGCAAATAAATTTCTAATTACGTAAACCTAAGTGCTAAACAGCAAGGAAAAAAATGTTTACCTGCTTCAACTATAAATTTCACTATATTAGCGAAATTTTTAGTTGCTCCAATTAATACTTTCGCTAATTCAGAGAAACTTATCGTCTGTTCCAGGTAAAAGTTTTTTTCCGTGACTTAACTAAACATTTTTTTCAATGTAATATTAAAAGAAAAAAAAATTATATCATGCTTAGCACTCTTCTAATACTAATTTTTCATTTGAATTCAAATACAATTTTAATGAAATTCTTTGAAATAAGTAAATTATTTTTTGAAATTTTAATGAAATTCTTTGAAAATATTTAATCATTTTAAACAAATTTGATAAATTTTTTTAATGAATTCAATTATTTTTACAAATAATAGAATTCTTACCAGGAATTCAATTATTATTTTTATAAAAAATACTTCAAAAAAACTCAAGTATTTTTTGAAAAATTTGAATAAAATTCTTCGCAAGAATTCAAATTTTTTTTACGAATAATAACAGGACTAATCGACTTTTTTGCGATTTTATTTAGTAAAATGCGACTAATCGACTTTTTTCAAATTTTTCAATTACTTTTCGACTTAAATTGTAAATGGCAGAAATCTTTTTTTTGTAAACAATATTGTTCACAAAATCATTCTTCTCTTTAGGGAAAAAAAACATAACATATTATCTCGTTTCTTAATATTTTTGTAGGAAATTTTCAATTTTCATAAGGAAACAATTTGCATCATTTCTATATCTTAATTACAAGTGCTTTAATAAAATTTAAAGTTTTTTAAAAATTAATGAAATAAAATCTTTATAAATTCTATTTCTCAATTAGAAAGTGAAACTTTTAAAATTTTTAGAAAATTGAAGGACAAAGTTTTAGTAAAAAAAATTATATGTTACATTTATTTACAAATTTCTTTCAAATTTTTCGAAAACATCAATAACTTCTTTTTTAAATAAATATTTAATTATTATTTTTCCATAGGAAATAAAATTCTTCAAAAGATTCAAATTCAAACCTTTTTGAAATTAAACAACTTATAAAAAATTGTTATAAAACATGAAGAAATCGATCACTCCGAGTCTTCGACTCGGAGCAATCGATGTCTTCATGTTTTATAATAATTAAAGATGCCCGAGTAATAAAATCTTTATTTTATAATATAAGACTTTATAAAAAAAAATTTTTTAATTATTTTTTATGAAAATAATTGAAATATTGAGAAGAAATTTATAAAACATTAGTAAGTAATTGAATTTTGTAGAATAATTTTGATATTTACAAAGATAATTGAAATTTTTAGGAGAATTTTAAAAAAATTTCGAAAATAATTGAATTTCTGCGAAGAATTTTCTTACTATTGAAGATAATTGAATTTTGCAAAGAATTTTATCAGAACTTTTGAAAATAATTAAATTTCCAGGATGAATTTTATTATTTATAAAGAGAATTGAAATCTTGAACAGATTTTTTTAAAAATATTTATAAGTAATTGAATTTTGCAGAAGAATTTTCTTACTTTTGAAGATAATTGAATTTTGCAAAGAATTTTATCAGAACTTTTGAAAATAATTAAATTTCCAGGATGAATTTTATTATTTATGAAGAGAATTGAAATTTTGAACAGATTTTTTTAAAAATATTTAAAAGTAATTGAATTTTGCAGAAGAATTTTCTTACTTTTGAAGATAATTGAATTTTAGAGAAGAATTTTATTATTTATAAAGATAATTGAAATTTTGACAATAATTTTATTTTTATTTTTACAAATAATTTAATTTCAGAAAAGAATTTTATTAATTATAACAATAATTGAAATTTTGAACAGATTTTTTAAAAAATATTTAAAAGTTATTGAATTTTGCAGAAGAATTTTTTTTTACTTTTGAAGATAATTGAATTTTGTAAAGAATTTTATCGAGAAAATTTGAATTTGAAAAAAAAATTTGAATATAATTGAATTTCAGCGAAGAATTTTCGTACTTTTGAAGATAATTGAATTTTGTATTAGAATTTTATCAGAACTTTTGAAAATAATTAAATTTCCATAAAATGAATTTTATTATTATTTATAAAATTCTGACGAGAATTTAAAAAAAAATTTTCAATATAATTGAATTTCTGCGAAGAATTTTATTACTTATGAAAATAATTGAATTTCGGAGAAGAATTTTATTATTTTTAAAGATAATTGAAATTTTGACAAGAATTTTATTAAATTTTTTTTTGAATAATTGAATTTAGGAGAAGAATTTTATTATTTATAAAAATATTTTACATTTTAAAGAGAATTTTTAAAAAAATGTTAAAAATACCTAATTAAAATGTTGCTTTGAGTTTTATTAAATTTTATTAAATTTTATTCCGGATTGTTTGATATTAAAGTATTTGTTGTCGAGAAATGTGATTTTTTTACAATTTTGACAATTTTGTGTTTCCTTTTTGTCGTTTTTTCTAAAATCCCATGCGACTTTTTTTCGACTTTTTTGCAAATCTTATGCGACTTTTCGTGACTTTTGTTGTGAATTTATGCGACTAAAGCGACTTTTTTTGAGTCTTAAAGTCGATCCGAGCCCTGATAATAGTATTCTTCCTCAAAAATACAATTATTTAAAGAAAAATTATAATGAAATTTTTTGCAAGAAATAAAATATTTTCATAAACAATACAATTCTTTGCAGGGATTTTTTAATTTCTAAAAATTTTTTAATTTCCAAAGATAAAAAATTTAAATATTCAAATTTAATAAAAAAAAAAATGCTTTATGTTATTATTGATTTTTCATTTGAATAGTTTAATTGAAATTTGTTTTTTTCATGCATATAGGTACCTTGTGAATACCCGACATTATACACAAATGTTGTGGGCTGACAGTGTAAGAATTGGTTGTGGATATGTTAATTATATGGATGGCATACGAAACACCATTCTATTAATTTGTAACTATGGGCCAACGGGTAATGTCCTCGGAGGCAGAATGTACCAAGTTGCCCGCTAAACAGATTTTAGTGCCACTGCATTTCGAAAATCACTTCTTTCAAAAACAAAAAAAAAGGCAGAAAAGACCAACTTACTAAGAAATTTATTGTCTTGCAGAATATTCCTTTTTTTAATAACAAAAAGTCTTTTGTAACCAAACAAAAAATAAACAAAATAATAAATTTAACATCTTCTTAATTTATTTACCAACGAAAAAAAATTAATGACAATAAAAATATTGCAGTAAATTCCTTCATATTAAATTTTACCTCAATTTTCTATAAATGACTAAATAGACAAAAATAATAAGGAATTTAATTAACTATGTTTAATACTTAAATGAATGTCTCCCTTTCTGACAACGTTAAACTTTTACAATTAAGGAAAATGAACCGAATGTTGATTTTATGATAAATGAACAGCTGATAAAATTGTACGCAAATAAATTGCAATAATTAGATGGGACGTAAAAAAAATTGGGGGTAAAAAGATACTATAAAAGGTATAAAATAATGGATAAGTAAGTTATTGTGATTGAAACGGTTATTGAAGTTAAATCTGATTTAATCAAGCAAAATGACAATATTACGTGGTTTTTGTTTTCTTTTTACAATTCTAACACTTGTTGTTCTAATCAAAGGGCAAAATGACTTTTGCAACATTTGTCGAGTTCACACAATGTGCCGCTTTACGGTGTGTAGACAATTTTATACATAAAAATTATATATAAATAATAAATTTAATATAAATTAAAATGTTTCAGTAATAATAATTTAATAACGATAGTATATAAAATAGATTAAACATAATTATAAAAATTATAAATTATATGTGCATTTAATACCTACAATTTTAGAAACGGATTACTAATTTTTTTATTCAGAATAATTATTTAATAAAACATTTTTTATTTACTATAATTAAACAAAAAGAAAAAAATTTTAAATTCTTTTATTTAAAATATAATTTATTACCGATTATTTTATATTTACAACTTTTATTAAAATAAATTTGCTTTATAGAATCCACAACCAGTGTGTAGGGCAAGAGTAGCATATTTAACACCCGAACGAAAATACGAAATTGTAAATATACATAATGAATTTAGACGACAAGTCGCTTCTGGAAATGAACCACGGGGAAACCCTGGACCACAACCACGTGCCAGAAATATGCCAAATATGGTAAAGAAAGAAATTTTTAATTATTTGCATCAACATTCTATTCCATTAATTTTTATTCCTATTTTAAGAAAATTTTTGTTTCTAATAATTTCGATTTGGACTACAATTTCGATTTTAAGGGCAAAGTTTAATGGTATAAATTAATTAAATTTTTTCTTCAAGGTTTGGGATCCAGAATTAGCAATTATAGCACAAAGATGGGCTATACAATGCTTATCTGGTAATGACGCTTGTCGTGATGTTCGTAAGTATATTGAAAAAAAAATTTTCAAAAATAATCTATTTTTCTATGCACTGAAAAAAAAATTTATTTGATTCAAATAACCGATCACTTGACTATTATCAATTAAATATTTACTTGAATTTTATTTTTACTGTTTCATTTAAAGTTGAATCAATAATTTCAGTATTTACAGCAAATATCATTTAATTAACTCCAATAAAAATTATTTGATTCAATTAAATATTTAATTGATAATAGTCAAGTAATCGGTTATTTGAATCAAATACATTTTTTCCTTTTTTGTTTCTTAACTTTTTAAGGTAATAATTTTTCTTTTCAAAATATTTTCAATTTTAAAATTAATGTAATTGAAAATCATTGAATTCTTGTAAAGGATTTTGTCAAAAAATTTGAGAAAAATAAAGAAGAATTTTGTGATTTTTTAAAAAAAATTGAGTTCTTTCGAAGAATGTTATTAAAATTTTTTAAAATCCTAATTAAATTTTTTTGAAAAATTTCTTTGAACTTTTTTTAAATAATGAATATAATAATTTAAATTTAATAACTTAATAATTTTAATTGAAAATTTTGAAAGTAATTGAATCTTATGAACAATTTCTTTCAAGTTTTTAAAATGATCGTGTTTCTTTACAATTAAAATTAAATATTTAATTATTGCATTTTAGTAAAATTGAAGAATTTTATTATTGATTAAAAAATTTAAATTGTTTGGAAGGATTTATTAAAATCTTAGATAATAATTGGATTCTATCGAAAAATCTTTAAAAAAAATTGAATTGTCTCGAAGGATTTATTAAAATTTTAGAAAATAATTAAATTTTTTTGGAAAAATATTATTAAAAATTTTTTTTAAATTAAATTCCTACATGAAATTTTATTAAAATTGTACTAAAAGTAATTGAATTATTGACAGAAATTCTACTATTTGTAAAAATAATCGAATTGTTTTGAAGGATTTATTACAATTTTAAAAAATAATTGAATTCTTATAAAACTTTTATAATAAACTAAGAAAAAAAATTTGAATTCTTTCGTGAAACTTTATTGAAAATAATTGAATTTTTGCAAAGATTCTACAATTTTAAAAAATAATTTAATTGTTTCAAGTTTTAATGGATTTATTAAAAGTTTAGAAAATAATTGAATTCTTCAGTGAAATTTTATCAAAATTTTGTTGAAAATAATTAATTTTTCGCAAAAAATTTTACTATTTATATAAAAAGAAATGAATTCATCCGAAGAATATTATTATTTATTTATAAAAAATTGAATATTGAAAGCAACAAGGGAATAAAGGGCATAAGTATAAAAATAATTAAAATTTTATTTAAAAAAATTATCAATTATATTATTTTTTTTTTGAAATTCTTAAAGTTTTGAATAATTTTATTCAAAAATTGTAAAAAATAATTCAATTTTGAAAGAATTGCAGTTGCAATATGCAGAAATAATTCCATTTCAAAAAGTTTTTCATTGAAATTGAAAAAATTGAAAAAATCATTAAAATTCTAAAAAATTAAACAATTGAAAGTTTTGTCAAAGGTCATTGAAATAAATTCTTATATTTGAATTTTATTTGTTTACTTCGAAAAATTATTTTTAAATATAATCAAATTTTTGAAGAATTCTAATTAAAAATTTGTAAAATAATTTATTTTTAAAAAAATGTGGTTAATTAATTAAATAATTGTAATTATAAATATATTAAAAACTTGGTTGTAAATTAGAAATAACAAATTTTTTTTCTTATTTAGGACGCTATGAAGTTGGACAGAATGTAGCAACAGCATGGACAACAGGTTCAAATCCTACATCATTGAGAACTTTAATAACATCCTGGTACAATGAGGTGACTCTATTTAATCGTAACCAAGTAGAACGATTTGTGTAAGTAAAAATAGGAAAATTTTGTAAAAATTTCTCATACACAGAATATTGAATATTGAAAATAATTAAATTTTTTCGAGAAGGAAAATAATAGAAAGAAAATAATCAATTTTTTAAAATATTTTAATACAATTTTCTAAAAGGAATTAATTATTTTCGAAAATATTGCTAAAATATGTTTAAATTTTTATAAGAATTTTATTATTTTCAAAATAATTTTTGTTAAATCGCTCGCGAAAAAATTTAATTATTTTAAACGAATTTAATCAATTTTTTAAAAGAATTCAATTATTTTTACAAATAATAGAAATCTTAGTAGGAATTCAATTATTTTCAATAAAATTGAAAACAAATTCCTCGAAAGAATTCAATTATTTTCAACAATTTTTATAAAAAATGCTTCACAAAAACTCAAGTATTTTTTAAAAAATTTAAATAAAATTCTTTGCAAGAATTCAATTTTTTTTTTACAAATAATAGTATTCTTCGCAGGAATACAATATTGTTTAAAGAAAAATTATAATAAAATTCATTTCAAAAAATTAAATATTTTCATAAGCAATACAATTCTTCGCAGGGCTTTTTCTATAATTCTAAAAATTTATTAATTTTCAAAAATAAAAATTTAAATATTTAAATTTAATAAAAAATACTTTTTGCTATTATTAATTTTTCAGTTGAATAGTTTAATCAAAATTCTTTTTCTTCATTCATATAGGTTCCATGGGAGTACCCGACATTATACACAAATGTTGTGGGCGACTAGTGTAAGTATTGGTTGTGGTTATATTAATCATATGGTTGGAAATCGAAACACTGTTACATTAGTTTGTAACTATGGACCGACTGGTAATATCGACGGAGGTAGAATCTACCAAGTTGCCCGCTAAACAGATTTTTATTCTTCATTTCGAGAATTCAAAAAAAAAAAAAAAAAAAAGCAGAACATATTAACTTAGAAATTTATTTCCTTTAAGAATATTCCTTTTTTTAAAAACAAAAATTCTTTTGTAACCAAACAAAAAAAAATAATAAATTTAATATCTTAATTTATTCACCAATAAAAAAATTAACGACAAACAAAAATTTGCGGTCAATTCCTCCATAAACCGCATTTTACTTCAATTTTCTATAAATGACTATTTTTAGTTGTCAAACCTAGCAAGAAATTTGATTTTAATGAATAATTTCATAATTAATAGTTTTATAGTCTTTAAATGTAAAGAAATGTTTTTAATAACATTTCTATCATTAATTGGAATTGTGAGAAATGGTAAGGAGGCGACACAATTCGCGATCTAAATTTCAATAATAACAATGGAAAATAATTGCGAATTTTGTCGAGATTCACAGAATGCGGTGATTGTTCCATTCACTATATAAGAGATATTCGATATTCTTGAGAGGTATGTATGTATGTTTTCTGATAGATAGAGAATTCTCATTTTCTATTATATGGAACTTAATAATAAATATCGTCTCCGATCTATTGACAAATGAATCTCCATTCAAACACTCATATTTCATTCTTAGAAAAATTAAGTATCTCCCCTCGATGAAAAAAAAAAAAATTCTTCAGATGACAAATCTTAAAAATAAAGAATTTTATTCCTTTTTTGATTCAAGTTCCCACAAATTTAAGTACTCATCTATCTTATCACTAAAGAAATTATTTTCCTACTTCAATGTATACATATTTTGTTGATAATACTTTTAAGAAACGAATTTCTGAATTCAAATAAAAAATTTTTGTCTCCTAGAAATGGTATTTTTTCGAAGTAGTTAAATTATTTTCTAAAATTTTAACAAACCCTTCAAAGCAATTCAATTATTTTTTTAATTTTTAATAAAATTTTTCGAAAGAATCCAATTATTTTTTAAAATTTTAATAAATCCTTCGAGCCAATTTTTTGCGAAAAATTAATTATTTTCAACAACATTTTAATTAAATTTCACGAAAGAATTCAATTATTTTCTAAAATTTTAATAAATTCTTCGAAACAATTCAATTATTTTTATAAATAGTAAAATTTTTTGCAAAAATTCAAATTATTTTTAATACAATAAATTTGTGTAAAATTTAATGATAAAATTCAATTTAAAAAAAATTTTTAATAATATTTTTCGAAATATAATTTAATTATTTTCTAAAATTTTAATAAATCCTTTAAAACAATTCAATTATTTTTTTAATTTTTAATAAAATTTTCCGAAAGAATCCAATTATTTTCTAAAATTTTAATAAATCCTTCAAAACAATGCAATTATTTTTATAAGTTGTAAGTAAAATTCATAGCAAGAATTAAATTATTTTTTATAAATAATAAAATTCTTCTCAGGATATCAATTATTTTTATAAAAAATAAAATTTTTTGCAAAAATTCAATTATTTTCTAAAATTTTAATAAATCCATTGAAACAATTCAATTATTTTTTTTATTTTTAATGAAATTTTTCGAAAGAATCCAAATATTTTTTAAAATTTTAATAAATCCTTCGAACCAAGGCAATTATTTTTATAAGTAGTAAGTAAAATTCATCGTAAGAATTACATTATTTTTTATATCTTTTTATAAATAATAAAATTCTTCTCAGAATTTCAATTATTGTCAATACAATTTGTAATAAACTTCCATATTCAAATATTTAATTCTAATTATTAACAGACACGATTATTTTAAAAAGTTAAAAAAAATTCTTTGTTTAATTCAACTATTTTCAAAATGTTCAATTAAAATTATTCAAAAAACTACATTATTTTCAAAAATACTTAGAGAAATTCTTCAGAAAAATTCAATTATTTAGAAAAACTCTAATAAAATTGTTTTAAAAGAGTTTAATTTTCTATCAATAATTTTAATAAAATTTTAGTAGTAAAATTATTAATTACAATTATTAACAAAATCGATTATATTCAATAAATAAAAGAAATTTTTTAAAAGAAATAAATAACTACCAAAACTTGTAATAGTATCAATTCTTCGAAAGAATTAAATTATTTTTATGTTTTAATCAAATTCCTTGAATTAATTAAATTATTTTCTATATTTTAATAAAATTCCTCGAGTATCTTAATTTTTTTAGAAAATTTTAATTTCGTTATTTTTTTTTTTGTTCGATAGAAAATTTTAATCAAATTCTGAGAAGAATTTAATTATTTTCTAAAAATTTTAATAAAATTCAATAATTGAAGGTTTAATTTTAATTACCTATATTTTGAAACACGATTAATGTAAAAACTAGAGAGAAATTGTTCATAAAATTCAATTACTTTCAAAATTTTCAATTAAAATTTTTAAAGAAACTCCATTATTTAAAAAAATGGAAAGAAATTCTTCAAATGAATTTAATTAGGAATTTAAAAAATTTTAATGAAAGTCTTTGCGAGAATTTAATTATTTTCATAAATAATAAAATTCTTCGACAGAATTAAATTATTCTCAAATTTTTTTTATAAAATTCTTTGCAAGAATTTAATAAAATGTATAAATTTAATAAAAATTTAATAAATTATTAAATTTAATAAAATTTAATAATAATTTAATAATAAATTTAATAAAATTAAAGTCTGACGCGTGTCTCATTGTAAGAAAGCTGTTAATTTAGGAAACAATGTCCCTTTAAATTCGGACAAAAACAATCTTTTCATTCATCCCATTCGCATGGTACGAGAGTGAGAACAATTCTATTCAGAATTATTCATTCACAGTGGGCAAATTAATCGATAATAAAAATAATACTAAACAAAAGAACGATTCCCCGACCTACGATCTTATAAATGTTTCATCCTTTCATCTTTAAAAAAAAAATTAGGAAAAATAAAAACTTTTTTTCTTTTAGGATCTAATTATAATAATTTTCATTGTAAAAGAGTATAATTTTTATCAATATTACTCCAAAGGGATTTTTTTCCCGCGACTATAAAAGTTTTTTTCTTTTATTTCAAGTTTAATTAAAAATACAGCAGAGAAAGCTTCCTGAGTCCTTTTAGTTTTTCAATTGTTCCTTTGTTTTCAATTGTTGTTTCTCTCTCTCTCTCTCTCTCTCTCTCTCTCTCTCTCTCTCTCTCTTGTGCTTTAAATACATGTATGTATATGCGTTCGTATATTCTCGAGAAGTTACGATCGCAAACGATTAATTATTAACGTGCATATAACTTATGAACCACACATTTATGAATTGTTGCATTGTGCAAATTAATAATTTCGAACGAGAGCTTTTTGCAAAGAAAGAAATAGAGAGAAAAAAATGAATAATTTACAAAAAGAAAAAATAATTTGCATAGCTTTTCGTTCGACTCTGTGAGTGCAAATCTCGTTTTCTTTTTTTTTTTTTTTGGTAATTTATTCTCGTAATCGTAATGCTACGGGGGGAGGGGGGTGAAAGAGAAATGAGCTTTTTGTAATTTCCGTAAAAAAATATGATGACATACCTCTCCGCTGTATACATCTGATGCATATAGTAGATCAAAAGGTAGAGCTGCCACGAGGTCGAGGAAAAACCAACTCTTTAAGTAATTCACAGCAATGCTTTTACTGTTACTAACGACTTCTCCCTTTCTGTTAACGTATGTTGTTCTGAAGTTGAGAATAATATCTGAAAATTTACAAAGTAACCAAAGTTTATTAATTCTAGAAATGGGGCGTTTGAATTTTTAAATTCGAAATTATTAGCTTATTTATTTAGGAGAATTTCCTTATTAGACGGAATAAATTAAAAATTAAAAAATTTTTTTTTAATTGAAAATTTTCAACATTTAAATTAGTCAGAATTAATACAACTGCCCCTAATTTTCAAGCAAGTTTTAAATTAATTCAAATTTTTACTTCGCAATTTTTAATTAATTAAAGTTGCTACTTGCTACAAACATTTATTTTTCTTTTTCCTCGATTTCCAGACAAAATTTTGACTTTTTCCCTGAGTCCAGGGTGTCTACAACTAATCTGAAAAAAATTTCCCTGACATTTCCATATTTTCCAGGTCTCTAAAATTTTTTTTCCAGTTTTTAAGAATCGACATAATAAGGGGTTACAAAAAATACATTGCTTAAATTTTATTTGATAACACTTACAAATGACGTGGAAGGAGTTCACAACTTTTGTCATCAACGATTTAAAGAAAAAAACTGTTTTTCACTCAGAAAACAATATTTTACGTTTACAAAATTTTGTTTTTCAACTTTTTGTTCAGGAAATATTGTTAAAGTTTTATTAAGACAAAAGTTTGAATAGAAAATTATTTTTACTTCTAAATCATTGTAAACGTCACCAACGTTATAAATTATGAATATAAAATAAACATTTTTAAAAAAATTGTCAGGGCTCGGACCAGGGACAGTATTTAAAAATACGTACTATACGGACCATTTACGAACAAAAGAGAAAATTTTACTTACAACTATAAATTAAATTTCTTCATGTTTTATAATAATTAAAGATGTCCTAAAAATAAAATCATTATTTTATATTACATATAAGAATATTGATACTGTAACTTCTTCAAAATTATTTTCATCATTTTAATTTATAATAATTATTTTCAAAAATTTTTAAATAAAATTCTTTAACTAGCAGATCTTTGACAATTTTCAAATCCATTTGTTTACAATATTCAGTTTTACGAAATTTCAATTATTCGTAAATTCTTCAATATATATAAGAAAATAAAAAATCCAAATAATATTTTTGAAATTTTTAGATTTTTACCAAAGGGTGGAGATTTTTAAATAAGTAAAGTATTTTTCAAAAGCACAAAAATATTGAAGCAAAATGCCATGAAAAAGAAGAAAAAATGTTGTATTTTAAGAAGTTCGGTTTTTCGAATTTTTGAATATTTTTGATAATTTTAGATTTTTTACCAAAGGGTGGAGATTTTTAAATAAGAAATATATTTTTTAAGAGCACAAAAATATTGAAGCTAAATGCCATAAAAGAGAAGAAAATATGTTGAATTTTAAGAAATCCGTTTTTTCGAATTTTTGAATATTTTTGAAATTTTTAGATTTTTACCAAAGGGTGGAGATTTTTAAATAAGTAAAGTATTTTTCAAAAGCACAAAAATATTGAAGCTAAATGCCATAAAACAGAAGAAAAAATGTTGTATTTTAAGAAATTCGGTTTTTCGAATTTTTGAATATTTTTGATAATTTTAGATTTTTTACCAAAGGATGGAGATTTTTAAATAAGAAATATATTTTTTAAGAGCACAAAAATATTGAAGCAAAATGCCATAAAAAAGAAGAAAAAATGTTGTATTTTAAGAAGTTCGGTTTTTCGAATTTTTGAATATTTTTGATAATTTTAGATTTTTTTCCAAAGGGTGGAGATTTTTAAATAAGAAATATATTTTTTAAGAGCACAAAAATATTGAAGCTAAATGCCATAAAAGAGAAGAAAATATGTTGAATTTTAAGAAATCCGTTTTTTCGAATTTTTGAATATTTTTGAAATTTTTAGATTTTTACCAAAGGGTGGAGATTTTTAAATAAGTAAAGTATTTTTCAAAAGCACAAAAATATTGAAGCTAAATGCCATAAAACAGAAGAAAAAATGTTGTATTTTAAGAAATTCGGTTTTTCGAATTTTTGAATATTTTTGATAATTTTAGATTTTTTACCAAAGGATGGAGATTTTTAAATAAGAAATATATTTTTTAAGAGCACAAAAATATTGAAGCAAAATGCCATAAAAAAGAAGAAAAAATGTTGTATTTTAAGAAGTTCGGTTTTTCGAATTTTTGAATATTTTTGATAATTTTAGATTTTTTTCCAAAGGGTGGAGATTTTTAAATAAGAAATATATTTTTTAAGAGCACAAAAATATTGAAGCTAAATGCCATAAAAGAGAAGAAAATATGTTGAATTTTAAGAAATCCGTTTTTTCGAATTTTTGAATATTTTTGAAATTTTTAGATTTTTACCAAAGGGTGGAGATTTTTAAATAAGTAAAGTATTTTTCAAAAGCACAAAAATATTGAAGCTAAATGCCATAAAACAGAAGAAAAAATGTTGTATTTTAAGAAATTCGGTTTTTCGAATTTTTGAATATTTTTGATAATTTTAGATTTTTTACCAAAGGATGGAGATTTTTAAATAAGAAATATATTTTTTAAGAGCACAAAAATATTGAAGCAAAATGCCATAAAAAAGAAGAAAAAATGTTGTATTTTAAGAAGTTCGGTTTTTCGAATTTTTGAATATTTTTGAAAATTATGGATTTTTTAACACAGGTGGAGATTTTTAAATAAGTAAAGTATTTTTCAAGAGCACAAAAATATTGAAGCTAAATGCCATAAAACAAAAGAAAAAATGTTGAATTTTAAGAATTTCGGTTTTTCGAATTTTTGAATATTTTTGAAAATTATGGATTTTTTAACACAGGTGCAGATTTTTAAATAAGTAAAGTATTTTTCAAGAGCACAAAAATATTGAAGCTAAATGCCATAAAACATAAGAAAATATGTTGAATTTTAAGAAATTCGGTTTTTCGAATTTTTGAATATTTTTGAAATTTTAAGATTTTTTACCAAAGATTTTTAAATAAGTAAAGTATTTTTCAAGGGCCCAAAAATATTGAAGCTGAATGCCATAAAACAGAAGAAAATATGTTGAATTTTAAGAAATTCGGTTTTTCGAATTTTTGAATATTTTTGAAAATTATGGATTTTTTAACACAGGTGGAGATTTTTAAATAAGTAAAGTATTTTTCAAGAGCACAAAAATATTGAAGCTAAATGCCATAAAGCAGAAGAAAATATGTTGAATTTTAAGAAATTCGGTTTTTCGAATTTTTGAATATTTTTGATAATTTTAGATTTCTTACCAAAGGGTGGAGATTTTTAAATAAGAAATATATTTTTTAAGAGCACAAAAATATTGAAGCTAAATGCCATTAAACAGAAGAAAAAATGTTGTTTTTTTAAGAAATTCGGGTTTTCGAATTTTTGAATATTTTTGAAATTTTTAGATTTTTACCAAAGTGTGGAGATTTTTAAATAAGTAAAGTATTTTTCAAGAGCACAAAAATATTGAAGCTAAATGCTATAAAACAGAAGAAAATATGTTGAATTTTAAGAAATTCGGTTTTTCGAATTTTTGAATATTTTTGATAATTTTAGATTTTTTCCAAAGGGTAGAGATTTTTAAATAAGTAAAGTATTTTTCAAGAGCACAAAAATATTGAAGCTAAATGCCATAAAACAGAAGAAAATATGTTGAATTTTAAGAAATTCGGTTTTTCGAATTTTTGAATATTTTTGAAAATTATGGATTTTTTAACACAGGTGGAGATTTTTAAATAAGTAAAGTATTTTTCAAGAGCACAAAAATATTGAAGCTAAATGCCATTAAACAGAAGAAAAAATGTTGTTTTTTTAAGAAATTCGGTTTTTCGAATTTTTGAATATTTTTGATAATTTTAGATTTTTTACCAAAGGATGGAGATTTTTAAATAAGAAATATATTTTTTAAGAGCACAAAAATATTGAAGCTAAATGCCATAAAACAGAAGAAAAAATGTTGTATTTTAAGAAGTTCGGTTTTTCGAATTTTTGAATATTTTTGATAATTTTAGATTTTTTTCCAAAGGGTGGAGATTTTTAAATAAGAAATATATTTTTTAAGAGCACAAAAATATTGAAGCTAAATGCCATAAAAGAGAAGAAAATATGTTGAATTTTAAGAAATCCGTTTTTTCGAATTTTTGAATATTTTTGAAATTTTTAGATTTTTACCAAAGGGTGGAGATTTTTAAATAAGTAAAGTATTTTTCAAAAGCACAAAAATATTGAAGCTAAATGCCATAAAACAGAAGAAAAAATGTTGTATTTTAAGAAATTCGGTTTTTCGAATTTTTGAATATTTTTGATAATTTTAGATTTTTTACCAAAGGATGGAGATTTTTAAATAAGAAATATATTTTTTAAGAGCACAAAAATATTGAAGCAAAATGCCATAAAAAAGAAGAAAAAATGTTGTATTTTAAGAAGTTCGGTTTTTCGAATTTTTGAATATTTTTGAAAATTATGGATTTTTTAACACAGGTGGAGATTTTTAAATAAGTAAAGTATTTTTCAAGAGCACAAAAATATTGAAGCTAAATGCCATAAAACAAAAGAAAAAATGTTGAATTTTAAGAATTTCGGTTTTTCGAATTTTTGAATATTTTTGAAAATTATGGATTTTTTAACACAGGTGCAGATTTTTAAATAAGTAAAGTATTTTTCAAGAGCACAAAAATATTGAAGCTAAATGCCATAAAACATAAGAAAATATGTTGAATTTTAAGAAATTCGGTTTTTCGAATTTTTGAATATTTTTGAAATTTTAAGATTTTTTACCAAAGATTTTTAAATAAGTAAAGTATTTTTCAAGGGCCCAAAAATATTGAAGCTGAATGCCATAAAACAGAAGAAAATATGTTGAATTTTAAGAAATTCGGTTTTTCGAATTTTTGAATATTTTTGAAAATTATGGATTTTTTAACACAGGTGGAGATTTTTAAATAAGTAAAGTATTTTTCAAGAGCACAAAAATATTGAAGCTAAATGCCATAAAGCAGAAGAAAATATGTTGAATTTTAAGAAATTCGGTTTTTCGA